AAAACTAGTGCAACTTCTTTGGAAGACAGTGTGGCGATTTCTGAAAGAACTAGAAATTGACCTTTCATATGACCCAGCAATTCCCCTATTGGGAATATACCCGGAGGAACTCAAATCATTCTATGACAAAGATACCTGCACACGTATGTTTGTTGCAGCTCTATTCACAATAGCAAAAACATGAACCAACCGTGTTGCCCTACAAAACAGGTTATTCTTTCAGGACCAAGGACAGGTCTTGGCAAACGGACCTACCTCAAGCAAGTTCTTCTTTCAGGCCCAAGGACAAGTCTCAGTTAATTGGCCTACCTCAAGGATGTCCTGGCTTCACATCTGCATTTCTATCCAGTTAGTGGACACGCAGCCTCTAGACTTGGGTCTAGAACTCCTATGTCCCGTTCATAGTTCACGATAAACCCTTCTCAAGAGGGTAGCACAGGGAACTGTCCAGCAACGTCATCCCTGGTGAAATAATGGCACAACAGAGGTAGACATTGGAATTAGGAACTAAGAGATTCCCACCACCAAAATGCATACTGGAGCCTGGGAGGATTCAGAGCTTGCTGAGAAGGCCTTTCTGACCTCTACTATTTCATATATCATCGAGAAGCAAGTCTGAATTGGACTAATTAAAAGCTAAATATGAATAAAAAGGAAATTAGGCCAAGTGATTACAGGCTCTTACCTGTAATCCTAGTATTTTGAGAGGTTGAAGCAGGAGGATTTCTTGAGGCCATGAGTTCAAGGCTATAGTGAGGTATGATTATGCCACTGCACTCCAGCCTGGACAGCATAGCAAGATACTGTCTCTATAAAACAATTTTAAAAATTAGCCATGCATGATGGCACTTGCCTAGAGTCCCAGTTACTCAAGAGGCTGAGGTGGGAGGATTGCTTGAGCCCAGGAGTTTAAAGTTATGGTGAGCTATGATCATGCCATCCAGCATGGGTTACAGAGCAAGACCTTGTCTCTAAAAATTAAAAAAAAAAAAGGAAGATAGAAAATTACCAGTACTATTGATACCACTATTATCCACATAACAAGTATTATTATTAAAATAATAATTAAATAATTATTAAAGACAAAACAGTAAAAAAAAAAAAAAAAAGGCAACCACAATAAAAGCACATCTCAGTTGGATTAGACCTCTAGGACTGACCAGATAAAGCCCTTTCAATAATTTCATTTGTCAATAAGTGATAGAATAAGTGACTACATGACTGTTTCAGAGTTGAGTGCAGGCAGTCCTTCTGAAAGGAAAGTTATAGTTGAAGGTCTCAGATGCTGAAATATCCATGTTTCCCATAAGGTAGCTTCCCAAGGTGCCTAGCGCAGTGCGTGGCATCCAAAAAGCACTCAACAAATGTTTTCTTCCTGACAATACATGAGCAATTTCTTGTTGTTGTTTTCTTTCTTTCTTTCTTTCTTTCTTTCTTTCTTTCTTTCTTTCTTTCTTTCTTTCTTTCTTTCTTTCTCTCTCTCTCTCTCTCTCTCTCTCTGTCTTCCTTCCTTCTTTCTTTCTCTCTCTCTTTCCTTCTTTCTTTCTTTTTCTTTCTTTCTCTCTCTTTCCTTCTTTCTTTCTTTCTCTCTCTCTCTCTCTCTTTCTTTCTTTCTCTCTTTCTTTCTTTCTTTCTTTCTCTCTCTTTCTTTCTTTCTCTCTCTCTCTCTTTCTTTCTCTCTCTCTCTCTCTCTCTTTCTTTCTTTCTTTGCAAGGTCTTGCTATGTTGCCCAGGCTGGTCTCGAACTCCTGGGCTCATGCAGTCCTCGTGACTTCGCTTCCCAAAGTGCTGGGATTATAGATGTAGGCCACCTGGCCCAGTGACACATGAGCAATTTCTACCCTTTGCAGGGAATCACCAAATTGTCCACATCTTCTGCATCTCTGAGGAGTCCCCATTTCTACCCCTCAAGGATCTTTCTTCCTGGTTAAGCACCATTCCTCCTAGGTTGAGAAGTCTGTGCAGCATAATTCTTTTTTAAGCCTATGTTTACTCCCTATGTGCTCGTGCATGCAAAGAAAATAATATGAAACTGAACAGGAGCTAGATCAGACAGGGGAGGTTGGGACAGAGACTTTTGATTTCTTTAAAATGTTCTTGGGTGGAGTGGATGAGCCCCTTTGAGGAATTCTTCAGTAGTGATTCTCCAGACACCAGAAAGTCAGTCATCCTCATCATTTTTCTCTCCCTGCAGGTGACACTGAAGACAGAAGGGGCCCAGGTCAGAAGACAGGTGTGTTTTGCCGACTCTGTCTTATACTTCAAAACAGGAGTCCTTTCACTTCACTCCCTGGATGCCCTTTCTCCATTCGACTCGTGCTTTTCCTTCCAGGCCCTGACGTGACCTCTGCTCCTGGGCGAGGAAGCTATGGGCCTCCAATGCGCAGGGCCTCTGAGGTACGAATGAGTGCTTCCAGCCGCGATTCGGAGAGCTGGGACCACAGCGGAGGTGCTGGAGACTCTAGCCGGAGCCCAGCAGGTAAGAGAGCTGGGCAAGTCTAGATCAACTCCTGAATGAGGAGACTCAGAAAGAACAAGGAGGACCACGTTTTTGTTTGTTTATTTATTCAGCAATTATTGGGTACCTACTGTGTACCATGTTCTATTCTAGATGCTGAATCTAGTCTATGATAGAGGAAAGACAAGATTCAGAAGCAGTTCTGGCTCCAGACAGCCATAATTTTGATCCAGTCCTTTTCTTGTGCTAATACCATATGTAAGAAAAAATGTGATTTTTTTTTATCTTCCTCCCTAAAAATCTCTGGGGGAAAATACCCTTTGGCTTTGCCACAAGTAATGATGCTTTACTCTCAAAGACGTGTCAGAGTTCTTTCTTCCCTCAGCAAATGGCCTCTGCTGCCTGTGTACATGGGGTGAGGCAGTACAGCCAGGATGTCATGACAGGTGCCTTTGCCGGGTACCCAGTGCCTCTGGTCTCACTCATGGTAGGTTTATTTGGCAAAAATGCCCACCAGTGGGGATCCTTGATCCCTGGACTTTGAAAGAAATGTCTACTATAGTGGGAGCATCTATGTCCCACAGTTTCTTGGATGTGACTTCAGAGCACTTAAATTTCTTTTGTAGGAAGGGGCTGCATCTAGGTCTGAGTTAGATGAACTGGCTGGTTGGGTCCCACGGTTGACCTCTGGTCTGCTCATCCTGAATTGTTCATCCATGGCTCAATGCCCGGGTTCCTTTTCTTATTAGCAACATAGCTGGGCACAACTCTGATGCTTCATCTGCTGCCCAGGCCCCCAGTGCACCTGTGGTTCAGAAGAACAGAGAAACACTGTATCAATTGAACAATCATTTCTTATTCTTCTCTGTCCAGCCCCTGGTGACCACTATCTTCATTCTGTCTCAGTAAATTTGACTACTGTAGGTTATACATATAAGTAGAATCCTGTAGCATTTGCCCTTTCATGGTTAGCTTATTTCACTTAGCATAATGTTTTCAAGGTTCATCTGTATTGTAGCCTGTGTCAGAATTTCTTTCCTTTTTGAGGTTATATAGTATTCTATTGCCGATATAATTGCATTTTGTTTTTTCTTTCATCTGTCAATGGGTGTTTGTGTTGTTTCCACCTTCTGGTTATTGTAAAGAATGCTGCTGTGAACATGGCATATACAAATCTGTTAAAGTTTCTGTATTCGGTTCCTTTGAGTATACACCTAGCAGTGAAATTGCTGAGTGCTACGGTTATTCTGTGTTTAAATTTTTGAGGAGCCACCACACTGTTTTCCATAATGGCTTTATCATTCACAGATTTCCACCAACAATGTACAAGGGTTCCAATTTCTCCACATCCTTGCCATCACTTGTTATTTTCTGGCTTTGGTTTTTCACTTCACCCGTAACCATCCTAATGGGTATGATGTGAAATCTCATTGTGGTTTTATTTGCATCTAGTGATTAGTGGTGCTGAGTGTCTTTTCATGAGCTTATTGGTCATTTGTGTATCTTCTTTGGGGGATTGTCTATTCAAGTCTTTTGCCCATTTAAAAATTGGTTTGCTTGTTTTGTTGTTGGATCATAGAAGTTCTATAATATATAATTCTGTATATTAATGCCTTATCTGATGTATAACTTACAAATATTTTCTCCCATGTCATGGGCTGATTTTTTACTCTTTTCTAGTGTTGTTTGATGCACAGTTTTTTATTCTGATGAAACACAATTGTTTTTGTTTGTTTGTTTTGCTTCCTGTCCTTTTATAAAGATCTACGAAGTCATGACCAAATTCAAGGTCATGAGGATTTTCATTTATTTTTTTCTTCCATTTTTTTTTTTTTTTAGCTCTTATGTTAGTCTTTGATCCAGTTTGAGTTAATTTTTGCATGTCAAATCCTGTGCCTTTAACTGCTATATTATTTTGCCTTCTGAGGGAAAGACAGTTACAGGACATTTCTGAATCAGATTTGGATTCCCTGTCCCTCAAGAGTCAACATAGGCCAGGTGCAGTGACTCATATATGTAATTCCAGCACTTTGGGAGGCCAAGGTGGGAGGATTGCTGGAGACTAAAAGTTTAAGACCAGCCTGCGCAATATAGTGAGACTCTGTCTCTAGACAAAATTTAAATACTTAGCCAGCCAGACGTGGTGGTGCATGCCTGTAGTCCCAGCTACCTGGAAGGCTGAAGCGGGGAGGATCGCCTGAGCCCAGGAGGTCTAGGCTGCAGTGAACTATGATTGTGCCACTGCACTCCAGCCTGTAAGACAGTGCAAGACTCCATCTCTAAAAATAAAAAAAAGTCAAAGTAAATGTCTCTCATCTATGAAGCTCCTAGTATCTACCAGCTCCACCTTAAGCTAAGTTAATTGTTCCCTCCTCTGAGTTCTCAGAGTAGTGAGACACAGCCCCAGAGCAGTGCTTACCACTATCCAAAACAGATCATAGCCTGAATCTCTCTCCCTTGTCTAATACCAGGAACACGTCTCTCTCCATTAATTCATTATGTTTCCAAATGTTTATGAAGCACCCATCATAACTTAAGTTCTTCCTTCTCGTTTTACAGCCTATACTAATGTTCCTAGTTGACTACAGTCTCTCAAATGCTTGCAGACGTGAATTAATAGTGAATACTGATAGCAGCTCGGGTTTATTGAGCACCTACTGTGTGCCAGGCATGTGATTCAACCCTTTCCATGTTCTAGCATTTAATCCATCCAACAACTCTTGGGGCAGGTGCTATTATAATCTATAATCATCCTTACTTAATAGAGAAGGCAAAGAAAGGCAAAGAACAAACAAGCAAAAAATTTGCCCAAGGTCACACAGAAGTCATAACTGGTCTGGTCTGCTATAACTTCCACTGGAGACGCTAAGAGCAGCTCAGTAGAACACATTCCCAGCAAAACTCCCTTGTTCCAAGGCTTCATCCTGGACCCTCAGGGACCTCCCTCGCACACAGTGTGGAAACCCCTCAGAGGTTTTCTGAGAGGAATTGGGTTACCTTCTCTGTGTCGGGGGACTCACTACCCCCTAGAGCAGGCAATTCCATTCAATGGGCTCCAAGTGTCATTCACACATTGCTCATTCAACAAGCAGCTCCAAGACAGACTGGGCCAGAGTCCTGCCTGGGCCGCTTCCCAGGTCTGTGACCTTGGGTGTATTTGGCCTCCATTTCTTCAACTGAAAAACAGGGACCATAAAACCACACATAGCACTGAATGGGGAAGGTTCCGTGAGGTGACGTGCAAGGCCTGGTGCATGTGAAGAACCCCATGAATGTTGACTATTTGGCATTTTGTGATTTTTGCACAGGACTTGGTGTTTGGTGGACATTCAATGAATGCGTGTTGAATGAATGGGTGAGTGCATGAACAAATGAATGAGGACCCAAATGAACAAACAAATGGCAGTGCTAACGTGGACCCTGAGACAAAACTGGGTGGTTGGTAAGCCCCTAGGTGGTGGTGGCCATGCAGCCTCTGTCACAAGCGTTCAAGCATCTGTCCAGCAAAAAGAGCTGATATCAGGCAAGGTGAAATCCAGCCCAGACAGGTAGGGAAGGACAGGGCTTTCATTTCAGAACATTAATCTTCTGAGTGCCAGAAACAGACCCTAGATACTGACTGCCGGAGTTCAAGTCCTGGCTCTGCCACTAACCAGCTAAGAGACATGGGTGGGCTCACTAATCCCTCTGTGCCTCCACTGTTCCATCTGTAAAATGGAGGTGATAAGACACCCGCTTCATGGGCTTATTTGTGTAGAGATTAAACAAGTTCTTCTGTGTAAAGTCCCTGAAGCATGATGAACCCTGACTAAGTGTGAATTCATTATTATGATGAGGTAGGTAGAGCTGTTAGCTCCATGAGACATCTAAGGTTCAGAGAGAGTGAGTGTTCAGCCCAAGGTCACACAGCTTACATGAGAAAGGACTGAGATGCAAAGCCAAGTCCATATGAAGATAGCCTTTCAACAGTAATGAAAAAATATCAACACATGGCTTCTGTTGGGTGTTTACTACATACTGAGCACTGTTCCGAGTACTGTGCCTGTTTGTATCAGTGTATCTTCACCAGTACTTGAGCCGGGAACTGTTATGTCTGTTGAACAGACGAGGAAACTAAGCCCAGAGAGGCTAGGTCACTTGGGGAAAGTCGCAGAGGTGGAAGCAGACTCATAGAACAAACATGTACTTTTTTTTTTTTTTTAGTTGGGGTCTCACTCTGCTTCCCAGACTGGAGTGCAGTGGCGTGACCATAGCTCACTGCAGCTTCAGACTCCTGGGTTCAAGGAATCCTCCCACCTCAGTCTACCAAGTAGCTGGGACTATAGGTATACACCACCATGCCTGGCTAATTTTTCAATTTTTCTGTAGAAACGAGTTCTCACTATATTGCCCAGCTTGGTCTTGAACTCCTGGGCTTAAGGGATCCTTCTACCTTAGCCTCCCAAAGTTCTGGGATTACAGGCGTGAACCACACACTTCGCTGAACCTATGTTTTTTTTTGTTTTTTTTTTTGAGTTGGAGTCTCACTTGGACGCCCAGACTGGAGTGCAGTGGCCGCTCCCGGCCACCGCAGCCTCGCCTGCTGGGCTCTGGTGATCCTTCCGCCTCAGCCTTCCAAGTAGCCAGAATTAAAGCATGCGCTACCACGCCTGGCTGATTTTTTATTTATTGTAGAGATGAGGTCTCGCTGCCGAGGCGGGTCTCGAACCCGCGGGCTCAGTTTTTTAACAGCTGTGCCAGTGCGGAAATTTTCTGAGAGTCTGAATTTTGGGAAGAGAGAACACACAGAGGTCAGGAGAAGAGAGTCAGAGAGGCTGAGCACGTGAGGTGCCACCTCCGACAGAAATCAAGGGTCTCCCTCACGCGCTGCCCTGTCCCAGGCCTCTTCTTCTCTGTGTATGCGACACATAGCAAATGTTTCCTTTTCTTTCTTCTGCAGGTTTGAGACGGGCCAACTCAGTCCACGCCTCCAGACCTGCCCTGGGCTCAGTGCAGGGCCCAGCACCGCCTCAGCCTGGACAGCCAGGTACCCGCCATCTGCCCACTGGTACCTGCCCACTGACATCTGCCCAGGCTGTCACTTGGCTGTGACTCCAATACCTCCCACCCCTGCTTGCAGAACCGGCTGGACTTTCTGCAAAGCTGCAGAAATCCTAAGCTCTTCTAAGACCCTGAGGATGAGTAATCCTCTGGGCTGAGAAGTTGGGGGCGGGGGGAGCAGGAGGAGGGAGGAGCATTTTATCCACCCAGTGCAAGAAGCGACAGTGCTTCAGGCCTCCATGCTTCCCACCTCCAGCGTGCATCCCCTTTTCACAGAGGAGCAAACTGAGGCTCAAGAAGTTCTCAAGCACTGGGGCTTGGACCCAGGCCTTTCTGACCCCCAAATCCTCCCCCCACAGGACTGTTCCTGCAGCCTCAGTTACCTGTGCACATCACCTGCTGCTCCTGGGCCTGTGTCCATGCCTGTGAAATAAGGGCAGACAGCAAACACCCAAATGATGCTGCCTCTCTGCCTCATCCCACTTTTTCTCTTCTCCCCACTCAGGACCCCCCGGAGGCAGCAGAGCTGGTTCTGGGCCAGCAGGGCGCTTTCCAGATCAGAAACCAGGCAAGTACCCGCTGCTACCAGTGCGCCTCCAAGCATCCACCTTTCTCCTTCTTCTCTGAGGGAGCAGAGCGCCACCAGATCTTGACTCAGCCTACACCCAGAGGCCTCTCTAATGAGCAGCCCCCCAATTCCAAAACTCTGGATAGTCCATGCTGGATAGATTAGATAGGTAGAAAATGCCACCGGGCATGGTGGCTCATGCCTGTAATCTCAGCACTTTGGGAGGCTGAGGTGGGAGGACTGCTTGAGCCCAGGAGTTCAAGACCAGCCTGAGTAATGTAGTGATGACCCTGTCTCTACAAAAATTTTTAAAATCACCTGGGCACAGTGACTCATGCCTGTAGTTCTTGCTACTTGGGAGGCTAAGGCAGGAAGATTGCTTGTAGTGAGGTATGATTGTGCTACTCCAGCCTGGGAGACAGAGTAAGACCCTGCCTCTTAAAAAAAAGGGGGGGGGGAAAGGGGAAAAAAGAATGCCAACCCATATAGTTAAGAGCATAGACTTCCTAGCTATGTGACCCTGGGCAAGTTACTTAACTTTTCTGAGCCTCAATTTTCTTATCTTTAAAGTGGAATAATAATTAGGGCCTACATCAAGGACTGTTGGGAAGATTACACAAACTAACACTTAGAAAACCTTAGCCCGCTCCCTGGAATGTATTAAAGCCAAACTAAGTGACAGGGATTACTACATAATTCAATATGTCATCATCTTCAATCACAACTATGAAATATTTATTGCTTTCAAATGCACAGGCACTGTTTTAAGTGCTTCACATCTATTTGCTCAGATATTATAATTCCCACTTTACAGATTAAGAAACGGAGGCTCAGAGACATTAAGTCACACAGCCAAGATTCAAACCCAGGATATCGGACTCCAGAGTCCACACCACTGATCCATGTACCCACAAGTCTGTTTTATCTATGTCTGGATCAACTTGAGGGGGCTGTTGCCAAAGACAGACGCCAAGGCCCCACTGCAGGGCCTGCTGATTCTGGGTGGGGTCTGGGGACCTGCGTTTTCGAAAGCTTCCCCGGGTGCTGCTGTCCTTATGAAACAGGGCGTCCGCTCCCTGTCCTGTCTCCCTGCAGAGGTGGCTCTGAGTGACCCCGGGACCACCGCCCCACCCCGAGAGGAGAGGACAGCGGGAGTTGGGGGCTACTCGATAGTTGGAGCCAGGGAAGACCGAGCGGGCTACCTGCCGGGACCCTATTCCCAAGCGTCTGCGGCGGCCCCGCAGCCCACCGTGGCCCCCGCCCGCCAGCAGCCACCCCCAGACGAGGAGGAGGAGGAGGCCAACAGCTACGACTCAGATGAAGCCAGTAGGTGGCGCTCACGGGAGCTGGGACTGAGAAAAATGCTTCAGAGGTGACTCTGGGAGCACGGGACCCCAGGGACAGCCCTGTCTTTCCGCCCCCAGGCCCCTAATATGACAGCGCTAAGACACATTCGCCAAGTGATGGAAATGCAGACTTATGCTCCAAAATCCTCAAAATGCTATTCAGTGTCCAGAGGTGAAAGCCTGTATGTGTCTTTTCTTGTGATAAGATATGCAGAAATCAAAGCCACCATTTCCATCATTTGAAAGAATGTGGGTGGTGAGTGGATTGCCTGAGCCCGCAGGTTCGAGACCCTCCTGGGCAACTTGGCGAGACCTCATCTCTACAATAAATCAAAAAATTAGCCAGGCATGGTAGCGCACACCTGTAGTTCCGGCTACTTGGAAGGCTGAGGTGGAAGGATCGCTGGAGTTCAGCAGGTCAAGGGTGCGGTGGCCGGGAGCTGCCACTGCACTCCAGTCTGGGTGACAAAGTGAGACTCCAACTCAAAAAAAAAGAAAGAAAGAAAGAATGCGGTTCAGGGACTTGAACTATGTTCTCCATGCTTGGTGTTGTCTCTTCTCAATGAGTTAAACAGAGAATTATCACATCACTCAGCAATTTCAAACACAGGTGTGTGTGTGTGGGGGGGTATTAAAACTCTTTAATGTTTATCTTCTAAAAAGTAATTTACTCACCATGATTTAAAAGTTGCCGAGCATTTTCTCTTGCATCCATCCATTCAGTGACTTATTAAGTGCCTACTCTGTGCCTGTCCCACTCAGACCCCCAGTCCCTGGGACACACACACACACACACACACACACACACACACACACACACACGCCAGAGATGCTTCTCCTGGGTGTGGCTCAGCGAGGCAGGATTGGCAAGTGTCTGGACCCAATGTGTGTTGGTGGGCAGGGACATTCTAGCTATTCCTGATCATTGGAACCACTGGAATGCACAGAAGAAAGGGACCAAGGTCTGTGACTTGTGACATGGCCTTGGCCTGTTGTGTCATCCATCCTCATTGTAAAATGAGGAGTAGAACACTACTTCCCATGCGGGCTGAGGGATGGGTAAACTGAGGTAGCTCCTGGTAAGGCGCTTCCTAAACCGGAAACCATCATTCTTACACAGAGCGCAACACACTTGAGAAAACGCTGTTCCGTGACATGGGATCAGAGGGTGCGCTTGTCAACACAGTTGGGCACCGGTTTTGTGCCGGGCATTGTTTTAAGGACACGATGTACACAAGCTCATTGAACCCACCCCACAGGCCTGGGAGTCATTGCTTTCACTCCTCCCATTTCACAGATTGGGAGATGAGGCTCCGAGGGGTGTAGGGGCTCGTCAGAGCTCACACAACCGGTGGGTGGAGACTGGCAGTCAGTCCTGCTGCTGCAGCAGACTAGAGGCTAGACCTGGGTGGAATATCAGCTGCCCCCTCTAATCCCGCGCTCTCTCAGGGCCATGGGTCTGCAGCCTCTGGAGCAACGAGTGAGGAGTCCATGCATCTCTTCAGCCATGGACTGTCTTGGCTCATCCCAGTCCTTCCCCACAACAGTGGCCTCTGCTCTTGCCATCTGCCCTAAGTGTCCCCAACTCACCAAGCACAGATGATGCCTCCCAGCTTTGTGTCTGTCCCTGATATTAGTTTATTCCAGTGGTTTATTACAAACCTGTCCCTGCGCTGAGCTCTATCCTCTTTCCTCATTCACTCATTTCTATATTTGACAAGCATTTATTGAGCACGTGCCAGGTGCCCCAAACTGTTCTAGGTGCTAGGGATTCTGTGGCAGGAAATGACAGACAAGATGGTTGATCTACTGGAGCTAACAGGTTAGTGAGGAGAAACTGTTAACACAGCAGTGCATTCATTTCCTATCGAGATAGAGCACCATGAAGGAGATAAAATATGTTGAGTGTCTGTGAGGGTGGCTGCTTTACTGGAGTGATCCGGGAGGGCTTCTTTGAGGAGATGACATTTAAGCTGAGAGGTGGGTAATGAGAAGGTGCCAGTTATGTAAGGATCTAGAGGGCAAGCATTTCAGACTGAGGGAATAGCAAAAGACTCATTTATTCCTCCAGCAAATAAGTGAGCAGCTACTGTATGCCCTGCATTTTGCACACTGGGGACACAGCTGTCAACAAGATAGTCCCAGCTATTGCCCTTATGGGGCTCTCAATCTATCAGGACAGGAAGTCATTAGCTACGCAGGTGCACAAATGAACTGATCACAGATGTCCTGAGTACTCTAAAGAATTGGAGGTCTACCAGGATGAGGTATCCAGAGCAGAGATCAAGTCTTCCTCTCTTCTATCATCTCAATGCCAAGCTCAGGCTGAGTAAATAATAAGAGCACAAGAAATGTTTGTTGAGTGACTGAATTAATGTTTTCTTGGTTCCTGTCTCTGCTCATGTCAGCCACCCTAGGTGCCCTGGAATTCAGCCTCCTCTACGACCAGGACAACAGCTCCCTGCAGTGCACCATCATCAAGGCCAAGGTGGGTGAGGGGCCAAGCAGGGACCTCTATGGATGCCCTGGCATGTCTAGGAGACTCCCATGGGAAGGGGTCACCCAGCCTGTCTCCTGGTGCTGCCTTGTCTGTCTGTGACAGCGACAGTGATGAGAATATTCATAGTAATTAGCCAGGGGAATTCCTTTAGGGGAGGGCTTCCTCTGGGGATGGGAGAGTCCAGTCACCTCCAGGTGGTGGGAGGCAGCAGGCTCCAAGAGCAGAGCCAGGAGCTGCCCAGGCCAGTTCAGTCCCTGGAAGGGACATGGAGGCACTGCCTGGGAGACGATGGCAGCCTGGCTTGACAACTGACACGCATCCAGGTGTCTGCCCAGCTCCTTCTGCTGATGTGGCTGTCACGCTGGAGCAGTGCCTGGCTGAGACCTGCCGTTGCAGATGCAAGGACACCATGTGGGCTCCAGGGGCCAAGAAGCCAGGCTGCTGGGTTGGGGAGTGATTCTAGGCCCAAGAAGGGTGGTGTGAAGCTGGTGCAAACCCTAGAGGGTGAGTGACTAGGACTGCCCCCACCCTGCCCAAGTCCAGTTCATGCAGAAAAACAAGCAGGGTCTCAGGAAGCAGGCTCAGTTCAGATACCAGCCCTGCTGCTTCCCAGCTGTGTGTCTTGGGGAAGTTACTCAGCCTCTCTTGTCCAGTGTGCCCGTTTGTAAGCTGGGGATAACAGTAGTGCCTTCCCGTAGGATGGTTGTGAGGATTACACAGAAGGTGACCACATGTTCCAGTTTGCCCAGATGGTCCCCATCTGTGCCTGGCGCCTGGCTGTGATAGCTTCTAGCTTCTTCTTTCCCTCTTAAAATGTCCCAAGTTGAATGGTAATGAGGTATGAACTGCCTCTCACAACTTCTACACCAACACATTTCCCTGCCCAAGTCACTTCTTTATTTATTGGGCAGCTATTACAGATCAGCATTTATTGGGCACCTATTATGTATCAACATTTCTTTGGCACCTATGATGTGTCAGCATTTATTGAGCCACTGCGACAAGCACTTAGGTGCATTTAACCCTCCCCTCCCAATAACACAGTGACGTAAGTGCATACATTATCTTGTTTCCTCATTACAGAAACATCTGAGGTGAGATTCTTATTAACCCCATTTACAGTTGGGGAAACTAAGGCTTAGAAAGTGGAAGCCTGAGGTCACACAACTGGTAAGGGGAGGAGCTGATCTTTACAGGTGAGATCTCCTTTGATCTTCCAAGAACTCCATGAAGCCTGAGCTGCTATCAGCCTCACTGAACAATTGGGGAAACTGAGGTCCATGGAGATCACCGGACACAATATAATCAACCTTTGAACAACATGGGGCTGGGGCAATGACCCCCCCCAAGTAGTCAAAAATCCGTGCGTAACTTTTGACTCAAACCTTAACACTAACAGCCTACTGATGGCCAGAAGTCTTGCTGATAACATAAATAGCTGATCGACACACCTTTTGTATGTTATATGTACTATGGTCTATATTCCATATAAGAAGATGCTGTGAAGGAAACCATAAGAAGAAAAGCATACTTACTATTTATTACCTGGAAGGAAACCATCCTAAAGCCCTCATCCTCATCTTCTTCATGCTAAGTAGGCAGAGGAGGAGGAAGAGTGGGAGGAGGGGGCGGGCAAGGGCTTGTCTTGCAGGTGGCAGAGACAGGAGGAAATCCTTGTGCAAGTGGCCCTGCTCTATTCCAACCCACGTTGCTCAAGTGTCAACGGTGCGTGACATCAGTGCCATGAGATGGGATGGTGGGCACCCAGAGGTGACACTTGCCCATTCTGGCCATGGGGGAAACAGGCAACACATGTCAGAGCCCCAGGAATTTCAGAGTTGCTCATGGTAACCAATCCACTTCAATTCTGCCCCAAACAAAGTTCTCTCCCCCGCCGTACCTCATCCGAACCTCATCCCAGCCCTGGCAGAGATTGTCAGTCCCAGCCTACAGATGGAAACACTGAGGTCTCAAGTGAGTGTAGGGCTCTTCCGGGACATCTTCTCCTATCCCAGCAATAGCATCCCAACCTTGGCAGAGTGCAGACTGTGTGCCAGGCCCCTCCTCGGTGGAACTGCGTTTAAATCTCACCACCCCAGGAGGCGCGTACTGTTCTCATCCCATACAACAGGCAAGGAAACTGAGGCTCAGAGAGGTTGAGGAACTGACCTGATATCACACAGCCAAGAGGAGATATGGCCAGACTTGAACCCTGTCTTTTCCATTTGGGCGCTCTTTCCACAACACTGTGTTTCCCTCTCTCTCTTTGGAAGAGGAAGTGCACAGAGTGGACAACAGGCAGGACAGATGCCAGGGGCTATGCCCAGTGCCTATGACAGCTGAACACTACCCCCCCCCAGGCACTCATGCCACTGCTCCTTCTCTTGCAGGGGCTGAAGCCCATGGATTCAAACGGCTTGGCTGATCCCTATGTCAAGCTGCACCTCCTGCCGGGAGCCAGCAAGGTACCATATGGCCTGGGCATCTCTGCAAGTCGGGTGCCTGGGCCCTGGCAGGCACCTAGGTTCTCAACTCAGAGCCTAAAATAGCCCTATCTGCCCCCATCCCTCTCACCTCATCCTGTGGATGGCAGAGCTCTCGCAAGGAGGAAAGGGTGGGCCGGGACTCATTCTTCCTCGAGATGCAGTGTCTGCCCATTTCTCCAACTCAGAAACCTGGGATCCAGGGAACTGCCCAAGGCCAGGAGAGAAGCAGATGCCCCAGTCATGCCCCTCGCCTGCTCAAATGCCCTCTGTGGCTCCCCAGGGCCAACCACAGCCCACTTCTCCACCCCTTGTGTCCCCCAACCTAACAGTCCTGATCTCCCAATAGAAATGAACAAGTTTTCAGGTTTTATGTCTCAGCACTTTTGAGAATATTCTATAATGGAGAGAAAATGGGCCTTGCCCTCACCTTCCTCTCCCCTCCCAGCTCCCTGGCTGAGCATTGCTTTGCTCTGGGATCAGATCTCCTCTCTTGGTAATGACTCACCCAGAGCACATAGACGGAAATGGAAGCGAGCCTGCTTGGGTTTTATTTTTTTCTTTGTTGTGTTCATTTGACATGGACATCCCAAAGGCAAGAGTGACAGTACACTTGGCTACATGATCTTGGGAAAATGCCCGTGAAATATCTCACAAGTTTCAAATGTCCGTAAGAGAAAAGAGGACACACACACACACTCATTTTGTCTCACTCTTTCTTTTGTCTGGACCAAGGGGCCGAGTGGTGAACTACTTGGCTCCTCCTCCTTCTAGTTCCCTGGTGATATGTGCCTCCCTCAAGATGTTCTCCTTTGTCCACTCCTGAATCCAAACCTGCTTTGCCAATGAATCTAGTATGAGTCATTTACATGTTAGTGTAAATTAGATCTGTCATCAGGCTTCCTTTTCTAGGGATAGTTGCATTTTCAGCCTTCTCTCTTAGAGTAAAATGACAACCTTTGTCTCCTTTAAGGAATTTCAGGCACGGAAGATATACTATTTGGGGGGAACAGAGGGAACCACCCCAATATCCCCTTCTTAAAAGAGAATGGGACACTCTCATTCTGCCTCCCTGGCCTAGAAATGGTATTTTTTCTTGAAGGAAGATCTCTGTCTTCTATCTTAAGGGGAGGCTCAAGGAGGGGACCCAGTGTCGAGCATTGGTCCATTTGTCTTTGACCATCATCCCAGAGGACATGTGTTTGGGAGTGACTAAGCCCCTGCACACTCCTGTGGGGAAAGCCAGTTGCCCCAAGTCAACCCAAAGGCAGGAGCTCTGGGACAGGTTCCCCACTGAGGCAGGTGTCTGTCTGTCCATCTCTCTGGGGCTCCAGTCCAACAAGCTTCGTACAAAAACTCTGCGGAATACCCGGAACCCCATCTGGAATGAGACCCTCGTCTACCACGGCATCACAGATGAGGACATGCAAAGGAAGACCCTCAGGTACCTGTGTGTGAGGGAGTGGACAGAGCGGGAGGTGGGCCCTGAGGCTGGGTGGAGTAGAGGCCTCAGGGGTCTACTCTTTAAAAAGATCTCTGCATAGTTTTCTTTTCTTACTTTTATAAAATGATATATATTTTTGTTAAAATTTTTTGAAAATACACAAAAGTGCAATTATTAGCATCCTGGTGTCCAGATGTGCCTGCGTGTGTGTGAAAGTTTGCTTATTTTTTAAAAATAAAGTTGAGTGCTTATAAAAATGTTTATTATAATGGATTATCCTACTAAGTTATACATACACCTGTCTCACTTAACAATGTATTGATGCCATTTCATAATCTTCTACAATGCTGAGTTAAACTGCATTTTAACTTAAGCAATTAGATAAATACATTCTTTTTATTTAAAAAAAAAAAAGAAAAGAAAACTCCTTTAAAATGTTGACCCTCTGCTTTCCCATGGGTCCCCTTTCTCCTTCTGTGAGTGTATGCATATTCATGTACAATATATAAATATACACACATATAGATTACTGTTCAAAACATCAAAACTATCATGCTGTGTATACCTGAAACTTACCCTTTTTAAAAAAATAATATTTCTTGGCATTACAGCCATACACACAAAAAAATTTAGATCTACCTTATTTTTAACTGCTTCAGAGTATTCCGTAGATCATCATGGAGTTTTAAAAAATATAACCAATATACAGGAAAGTATAGAACATAACAAAGAAAACATCATGAACCCAAAACTCCGTTTTTTAAAAACCTCACTGTTTTCCTGTGTTTGCTTCAGCTTTTTTAAAAAAGAAATAAGACATTATAGATGCAAGTTAGAGCTCCCTTGATATACTCTGCCTTCTCTTCCTGTTGTCTTCCTTCCCTCCCCAGAGCTAACCTATCCTGAATTCTTTGGGTGTTATTCCCAAGCATGTCTTCATGCTTCATAATCTTGTCTCTGTAAACAGTACATGATCTTGTTTGGGATGTTTTAAATTTTGTGTAAATGTTTACCAGTTTGTTTAGTCAATTTCCTGTGGGTGGGCATTTAGCTTATTCCCAGCTTTTTATGTTTCAAAGTTGCAAAGAGTGTGTTTCTTCCTCATGTGCATAGAGTGTTTCCTTAGGATAGAAACCAAAGAGGAACATTGCTGGATCATAGGATATGTAATGCTTCTCAAAACAGTTTTGCGAGATATGCTCACTGTTTTCCAAACTGGCTGCAATGTTATTTTAAGTAAATATTTTAATCACAGTATAACATTCACTAAGAAAAATACACATATAACAATTTTGTGCAGATTGATGAATTTTCACCTCAATATTATTTTGGTGTACTATTAAGTAAACATTTTTATTGCAGTGTAACATTCATTAAGAAAAATGTACACATAACAATTGTGCAGATTGATGAATATTTGCAAAGTGAACTCACTGAGATCAAGGAACAGACATTCCTAGACTATAAAACATCACCCTCATCATGGTCCCTTCCTGAGAGGACCCTCCTCCCAGGGCGTTCACAATCCGAACTTCTAACAGGACACATTAATTCTGCCTGTGTTTATACTTTATATAAATGAAATTGTGTAGTGTGACTCTTTTGTATCTATCTTCTTTCACTTAATATTGTATTTGTGATATTCATCTAAGTTGTATGTTGACATAGACCATTCCTAGAGGGAATACTACAGAGTCAAAACCAGTGATTATTCTGAAGCTTCTGGGGACACATTGCCCTGCAGATGGATGGTATTCATTATACCCCAGTCAGCTAAGGAGAGACAGCTTCTTCCTTCAGTCTTGTCTAGTGTGGCGCTTAGTCATGAGGGTGCTTGGGACTTGTTCGACTAGTGTTGGTGACCAAGGAGGAAGGACCATTATAGTCCCTGCCTTTTCCTCCAGAATGCCTCCCATGCCTTAGAGGACAAGTTACTTTCCTTCCCTTAGGACATGTAAGGATGAATTGTGATGGCTTCAGTGCTCCTTTTAGACTCCTCAGGGACATTGCTCATGACCTGCCTACTCAGTGCTGCTGCCCTACTCAGTGCCGTCCAGAGTGGATGACAAGAAAAAATATGTTGTTTGAGGATTCTGGGTTATAGGACCTGGATTCAAATCCTGGTTCTGCCTCTCACTGGGGAAAAATTATCTAATCTTTGTGGTACCCTGTGTCTTCTCTGAAGTAGAAAACTTAAATGTTCTGGTGGAGGAAAAGTTAAATGAGAAAAGGTCAGCTACAGTTCTTAGCCTAACTTTGCAAAAGAGGTTGCTCAAATGGCCATAAGGTATATGAAAAGGGGCTCAACTGCATTCATCATCAGGGAAATAAAAATGAAAACTACAGTGACACACTGTGACCTGTCCAGAAAGGCTAAAATTAAAGACTGGCAAATCAAGGTTGGAGAGAATGAAGAGTGATCAGGACTTTTATAGACCACCAGTAGGAGTATAATTGGTGAGGCCACCTTGGGAAACTATAAGGTTCTGTAGAACCTAAACTTATACCTAGCCCATGGTCCAGCAATTCCACCCTTAGAAAATACTCAGTAGAAATATGCACAAATGTATACCAACAGATGTGAACTTGAATGTCCAATGGCAACTTTATTCATAACTCAAAACAAACAACCCAAGTGTCCATCAATAGCAGAATTATTATGGTATAATCACAGAGTGAAATACTATACAGTCATTAAAAGGATAAATTGCTATATACTGTACATAGATGAATCCTACCAGCATAATCCCGAACAAAAGAAGCCAAACATAAGCGCATATGTAAGATTCCATTTATATGAAGGTAAAAACAGGACACATGACTCTATGGGGCCAGAAGTCAAGAGAGTGGACATCTTTGAGATCAGAAGTGACTGGGAAGACTCCTGAGAGTCTTCTCGTCTCTGGAACGTTCTATATCTTGATCTGGTGTATACATAAGCAAAAATTCATCAAGCTATAGACTTTATACTGATGCGTTTTACTGATGCAATAAAGAACTAAGAAATATGTGGCCCAGTGATGAGGCAACAGGAAATCGTTATTATTCCTGTACTTGCAACATATTCCACACCAATGTGGACCATAGCTCTTGGCACATTGTAAGAACTCCATATTTGCTCCTCCTTCTCTCCACCCTTTATGTCAATGGCAGGATCTCTGTCTGTGATGAGGACAAGTTTGGCCATAATGAGTTTATTGGTGAGACCAGATTCTCCCTCAAGAAACTGAAGCCCAACCAGAGGAAGAATTTCAATATCTGCCTGGAGCGTGTGATTCCTGTGAGTGACTTTGCCCCAAGGGTTTGATGGGGATGGGAGGGAAATGGAGGGAGGTGCTGCCTTTCTCTGGGGGAAATCGATTCACAGAGTACTGGACAGCAGAGACACCATGGCAGTTCTTGAGAGGATAGTGATGATTTTAGCCCAGAACTTCAGGCGGTGTCCTCTCTCTCTGCCTTTGACCAATCCCATGTTAGCGCCACTTCCCCAGAAGGGCAGCATGGTAGGGCAGTGTGGCCTGCCTAGGTTCAAGGTCAAGCTCTGCCATTTGCGGCTCCTTGGCCTTAGCCAAGGGACTGAACTGGTTTTCTTGTCTGTAAAATGAGTGTTATAACAGTACTTGCTTCTTGGGAGGGTTGTGTTTAAACATAATCAGAATAGAACTTAGTGTATAGCAAGCACTAGCAAATTAACATTTGTTCTAGGAAATAATACTGCCTCTCCCACCTGCCAGTCATGAAGTCAGAAAGCACTGCAGATAACAGGAGGCAGCATAGCAGGGTGCTTAAGAGTGTGGGCTGGGAAGTCGAACTCCCCAGGTTTGAATCCCGACTCTGCCACTTATGGTATAACTTGAAATGAGTTATTGTCTCTGGGCCTCAGATTTCTCATCTGTAAAATGGGATAATGTAGTACCAACCCCATAGGATCCTTTAAGGATTAAGTATGACAGCACATATAAAGCAGCAGCACTGTTGTTATTATTGTTGTTGTCATTAGATGTTCTTTGACCACGTATGTGCCTAATCCTGAATTGTACCCTACATCTTTAAACTAAAATAGTATTTTTAAAAAGAAAGAACAAGGATCAAAATTAGGTTCCTGAGTCCAAGGAAGCAAGATTGCTTGAGCCAGGATTTTAAGACTAGCCTGGACAATATAGTGGGGACCTCATCTCTACAGAGAAAACTAGGCATGGTGGTGCACACCTGTAGTCCCAGGTACTTGAGAGGCTGAGCCCAGGATATTGAGACTGAGGTGAGCCATGATCATGCCAGTGTACTCCAGCCTGGGTGACGGTGAGACATCAACCCACAACAAAGTCAAAAGCAAATTGAGGCTCCTCAATAGGGCTGCACCTCAGAATTAACTGGGAGTTTAAAACCAGAGCTTTACAAACTAAGATTTGTGCCAGTCTCTTCTGGGGATCCTGGCTTAGCGGGGTAGGTGGGACCCAGCCACCTCTACTTTTAGAGGTAATCCAACCTGCCCTTGTTCTACATGTAGACCAACTTAGTGTCTGACAGGGGAGCAAGTGGCCAAGGTCACCTGAGAGGCAGTGGCTGTGTCTATGGGCACCAGCCAGAGCCCCGCTCTCCTGGCAACACCAGCACCCCTGACCTCCCAGCACAGCCGGACAGCCCCCAGTGGGAAAGCCATGGGGCTGGGATGGGGACTCCTGCTGCATCTTCCCACCAGATGGCTGGACTGAAGACAGAAAGTCCGCATGCCATGCGTTGTTTCTATAGTTCAGGCAACAGGAAGGATTGCAAGGAAGAACCTACAGAGAATGCCAGGCTCCACGTGGATTATGAAAGACAGCCCTTGGAGGGGGGCGGCTTGTCCGGGTCTTTGCCTGGCTCTCCAGGCTTCCCCTTCCTCCCTCACTCTGGGAGTCCAGTTGGGCAGGACAATGGCAAGATCCCCGCCTGGGTCACAGGTTCATAGGTCAGCCCATCTTGCGATAGTGGACACAGCCACCCCAGAGACACAGAAGCAGCAGGGCTGTCAGGGGGCTGTGGTGGCCACAGATCCTTAATGGTCATCTTTTGTGCTTCTCCTTTACCCTTTATGCTTCCACTACCAACCTCCTCCACTGTGTCCCATTGAGGACAGGGGCTTAGTCAGGCCAGCCCCTCCCCTCTGGACCTCAGTTTCCCTCTTGTCTAAAGTGGGCAGGTTAGATTTGGCCAATAGTTTTCCAGCTGTGTTTTCCAGAGCCCTGGCATCCAGTAAAAGAACTACAAGAGCCTTGAAGGGAGAAATGAGAGGCCCAAACCCCTGTGCCCTGTGAGATCCTACCTGCTTTGTGTATGGCTGCTTGTTGGTCATGTGACCTTGGGTAGGTGTCTGAACCACTCTGACCCTCAGTGTCCTCATCTGTAAAATGGGGATTGTAATAGAACCTACATGACAGGTTGTCATGCATTAACACGATCTGCCGTGGGGTTACATTTTGTAAATTTCAGCTAAAAGAGAGGGCAGGGTAGCTCAAGAACCCATCCTCATGGCTCGGGATGCTAACAGAGGTATGAGGGTTTCCAGACCCTTCTTGTGTAGGAAGATGAGCCCTATAAACAGTATTGTCTTTTCTTTGCTTCCTTCTTTTCAGATGAAGCGTGCCGGAACCACTGGGTCAGCCCGGGGCATGGCCCTGTATGAGGAGGAGGTGAGCACTGAGTGGGAGTCAAAGCCACAGTTGGGGTCTGCACTGGGCAGGGCTGATATCTACCTCTGCTCTCCTTCCCTGGCCCCTTTCTCATTCTTTCTCCCACAACCACTTGCTTGTTGATTTACCATAGGAGCTACGCTTCACTCCAGGTGTTAGAGCAGGAGGGGGAGAATCCTCTTCACACCTGAAGCCTCTGAGGAGGGGGCAACCCATTCCTCTCACACCCAGGACACCCATGAATTCCTCGCCCGTGTTGTCAGCCCTGCTGACAATCCCATGGGAATAGAGCCATGGCAGACTCCTTTCTTGGGGACACAGGTGGATTCTTTGAGCTGTGTGTCTGGCAGAGATTGAAAACCTCCCTGCCCTCTGCCAGGGTCCCCCACAGGACCCCAGGGACTGCAGTTGTGGGAAGACTGACTGGGCCACAGGAGTCATTGATCAGAGTCAGGGGTCTGGCCGGAATCAGGGCCAAGGATCAATCCTGGGTCAGAGACAAAGCTGGTCAGTGACCAGGAACACGCTCAGCAATGCTCAGAGTCAGGGCTCAGTGCTTGTCGACGTCACGTGCTCTCACCATCCATCCCACTGCGAGGCCGGGCCATCCGCTCTCCGTGGTACTGAATGCAGGAGTGCTGCGGAGTGTTGTGCCGGGCCCCTCCCCTCCTAGGCCCACACCGCCTTTCCCCACATGCAGCAGGTGGAGCGTATCGGTGACATCGAGGAGCGTGGCAAGATCCTGGTGTCCCTCATGTACAGCACACAGCAGGGAGGCCTCATCGTGGGCATCGTCCGCTGCGTGCACCTGGCTGCCATGGATGCCAATGGCTACTCAGATCCATTCGTCAAGCTGTGAGTCAATCCCATGGGGCCACGGTGGGCCCTAGCAGGGGTACATGGTCCTTGGAAAATGAGAACCAGAGAGACCCCAAAGATTATTGTGCATGGAGACCTAGAGGGGGTGAGGAACCTGCCCAAGGTCACACTGCAAAATGCAAGCCCATAACTGGCTAGAATATGAGGCTGGAGTCTCAGACAGTCAGGTTATTGTGTCACTTGCCCACATGTGAAACTTTGTGACTCTCTCCCCTTCTGGAGGGGGGGGAGCGATTGGCCTGGTTGTAGTAACCCCATTTGTACCCCCCTAGAGTTGGCTGCACACTACCCCTCCAACCACCCAGAGCCCCATCGCCAAAGAAGCAATATGGCTTTTTCTAGATTCATTCTGGAAATACTCAAAGAAAAGACCTTAGATTTGGGGGCTATTCCAGTCATCTCCATCATGAGGAATAAAAGACTTTCTTGTCTGTGTGAGTCCAGACCCTCTAAGAAGAAGACGCCAGAATAGGCTTAAGCAGACTAGGATTTCACTAGGGAAATGCTGATGTGAGGAGAAGTTGGGCGGGCTCAGAGGAGATGGGGAATCTGTCAGACCATGCTGCTAGTCTGATCTGAATGGGGGGAGAAGGAAGCACACTGGAGGGAATCACCCCAGATGCACACCCAGGAAGGTCATTGTGGGTCCTCTAGCCCTCAGGCAAGTCCCATGTCTCCTAGGAGTGGGCCTGCCTCAGTATCTCTGCACAGTCCTCAACTGGGAGCATGGCCTTGGCACGAGCATGGCGTGGACTTCCCAGCACTGCATCTGGGGCCATAGTCAGTTACATCCCCCATAGCAGGATCCCTGCCAGAATCATACTTGGGCAGCCACTGGGTCAGACATGAGGCTCAACTCCCATCTCTGCCAGCTGCTGGCTATGGACTTTAAGCACATTATTGTTTCTTCATTGATAAAATGAAGATAACAGTTCCATTGATCTCCGAGAGTAGGCATAGGCTCCAGTGAAATATGTATGAAGCAATCAGAAGTGTACCTGGTTTGGAAAGGTCAGCACCTCCATAGAATTCTGCTTACCCTGGGACGGCAAAATGTGTGTGTCTATAGATAAAGTTAGGAGCATGGATTCTGGATCCAGACTGCCTGGGTTCGAGTCCCAGCTCCAGTAGACTCTGATACTCTCCAGCTATGCAATCTTGGGCTCATGGTTTAACCTCTCTGGGCCTCAGTGTCCCCATTTGTAAAATGGTGCATTCCATAAAAAGTGCATTAGTTCAGGTCCTCCAAAGAGATGCCAAGAGAGTGTGCCAGAGATTTGTTGGGGAAAATGCCCATGGAAGAAGTCCAGGGGAGCAGAGGAGGCCCACAGAGACCATGCATCTGGCTACAGCTCTGACCCTGTGGAAGAGAGAGGGAAGGAAGGAAAGTTGTGTATTAAGAATCTTGGGCTACAGTGGAGCCCTGCATCTCCCAGAATGGGGCTGTCTGGTGTCCCCACCAGTATCAGTTATTGGCTAGAAGCAGCCCATGGAAAAATGATCAATTCGGAGCCTAGTAACCCATCAGTCAATTTCACTCCCTGCAGTTGGAAAACACAGCCTGAGAAGTGCATTTTCATGGGGTCTGGTACACAGTAAGTGCTCGATAAATACCTGCCATTATGACTATAAATAACTACCCTCACTATTCTTGCTCATGGCAAAGAGTATTTATTAATATTTTCTCCAGCTGAGAGACACTCCCCTCAAATCCTGCCTCTGGCCATAGAAAGCAATACATCCCTAACACTGGGGCTAGAGAACAGACAAGTATGGGCTTTCCTTCAGATTTTCTTTGAATGAGGTCAGGGATAAGTTTGATTTGTAAGAGTAATTTGGTTTTGCTTCCTCATATGACCCAAGAGAGAAAATGAGCTCACGGGGTGCTGTCCTGCTCTCCAAGAAATCTCAGCCACGTGCAAATTGGTTTCTTAAATAATTCTCTTCACCAACTCCTCCTCCACCCACTCCATCCTTCCAGAAGAAGCAGAGTCACTGTGGTCACCAGTGAAACAGCTGGTGGCTGTAGTTGTGGGAGAGGAAATGGGAGACCATTAAGCAGTTCCTGATCAAATATATTGTTTTAAAGTTAGATATAGGCAGGGCATGCTGGCTTAAACCTGTAATCCCAGCACTTTGGGAGGCCAAGGTGAGGGGATTCCCTGAGCCCACGTGTTCAAGAACAGCCTGGGCAACTTGGCAAGATCTCATCTCTGCAATAAATAAAATGATTAGCCGGGCATGCTAGTGCGCACCTGTAGTTCCAGCTATTTGGAAGGCAGAGGTGGAAGGATCACCTGAGCCCAGTAGGTCAATGCTGGGGTGACTGTGAGTGTGCCACTGCACTCCAGCCTGGGAGATGAAATGAGACTCCAACTCAAAAAAAAAAAGAGTCAGATGTACTCTTTATTTTTGCGTAGTACTTGGTAATTTTCAATTCCTCATTTGCATCTCTTCTTAAAAATTATCCTCGAAAACAGTTCCGTCAGTGAGAAACAGATGTTCTTCACAGGTCAGGAAACCGAGACACTGTGAAGTTATGCTTATGTTCAAAATTGCTCCACTTGTGGTGGCCTGAATTACAGACCTAATATCCCAAACCTTAGGACTTTATTTTATTTTATTATTTTTATTTTTAGAGACAGGATCTCGCTCTGTATAATCATAGCTTAATACAGCCTCAAGTTCCTGGGCTCAAGCAATCCTCCCACCTCAGCCTCCCAATTAGCTAGAAATACAGGCATACACCACCATGCCCACCTATTTTTCTTTCTTTCTTTCTTTTTTTGGTAGAGATAGGGTCTCACTGTTTTGCCCAAGTTGGCTTTAAATTCCTGGCCTCAAGTGATCCTCCTGACTCAGCCTCCTAAAGCACTGGGAATGCAGATGTTGAACCGCCATGCCCAGCCTCAGTTCTTAGGAGTTTTTATCCCATTTTGTTTACTCATCCAGAAAAACTGAGTACCAACTATGTGTCAGGCATTGGGCCTACACTGGGAAAGAGCTTTCTAGGCAGAGGAAACAGCAGGCCCTAGCGTGGAAAGAAGAGTAAGGAGTGGATGAAGAGCATAGCCCAAGACGAGACAGAGACAAAGCAGGGACCCAACCGCCTGGGGTCTTGAGGCCACATTAAGGACTTTTAACTCTTCCCTGAGGTATAAGAGAAGTCAGCAAATAGTTTAGAGCAGTAGGGTGCCAGTAATCAGATGTGCATCTTCTTTCTACCCACTGCCCAGCATCTCTCCAGGACTTGGGCAGCCTAAGGTGTGGTTGATGGTAAAATGCCAGAGCGCCCAGCCACGGCCCTGCATTTGATCCTTTGGAAGCAAGTGATGACTGTGGGCCCAGACCCCAGGTGCAACCTCTGGGTTTAAGCCCAGCTATGTGACCAAGGGCACATGTTTCGAGCTTTCTGGACTGGTTTCTGTGTATATTAAATGAGTAGTTGTGGTTCTACCACTCAGAGCTCATGTGAGGATCCAATATGCCACAGGGGCTTAGTGCAGTGCCTAAGACCAAGCAGATGATCTAATGTACCCTGGTCACCATCGTGTTAATTCTGATGTGTTCATCAGTGCTTAGCCTGACACTGGAAGGAGCCTTTGGGCCATCAGGTGGCTGTTCTTATTCATTAAACTTCATTCATAACAGCCTCTGTGTCTCCTTCTAGCTGGCTGAAACCAGACATGGGAAAGAAGGCCAAACACAAGACTCAAATTAAAAAGAAAACTTTGAATCCCGAATTTAATGAGGTAAGGTTGTTCCACTCTTGGTCATGCTCTGGTATAGTTCCTGTGTTAGAGAGGAAGACATGCCTACTAGAATGTTGTCAGTGACATTAAAAAAACCTTTCTGTTGTAAATCAGTTTAAATTATCTGCAGACATACTTCCTCTATGATTCCAAACTTTGTGTATTCCTGTCTCACGTTGTACCTCTGGATTTCAATGATCCATTAACAAACCTGTGAGACACCAGGTGTCAGAAACATCTGTTGAATTAATGAAGGGTTGAATGGAGAGAAGAGTGGAAGAATAGATGGGCAAACCTAAGATAAAGGAAAAGAAGAAACATACAATGGGGCTGCTCGAAGATGCTTGTTCTGTGCCAGACCACCCTCCTGAGCATTGCTCCATGCCTGGGGCATGTGTGAGCCCATGTTCTCACCTGTGGGTGTGCCTGAAGCAGCCTTGGTGCTGGTTCTACCCACAGAAACCTCCCTTCTCAGTCCCATCCCTGCCTGAGATCTGATATTGGGTCAGAGCTGATATTGGGTCAGAGCTAGTTGTGATCATACAAAGTCCAATTAGATTCACGAACTATCCTAGAAAAATTGCTACATTCATCATTTCTGAATGCCACTATGGTCACCTTCAAAGTACTCCCCATGGGAAGCTATGCACTGACTCCAGCACTTAGTCTATCCTTCAAAGCAATTTTGGAACCCTTTTTCTGGAATGGTCATCAGAGCTGTCTTTGTATTACTCTTGATGTCCTGAATGTCATCAAATGTCTCCCTTTCAATATTTCATTTATCTTTGGATAAAGAAAAAAAGTCACTGTTGGCCAGATCAGGTGAGTGGGGGGGGGAGTGTTCTAATACAGTTATTTTTTACAGTGCTGCCAACGTAAGCATGTGGTGGCAAGTTTGCAAACTTAATTATCAGACCTCAACAAATAATGACCACAGTTCTGATGGCCATTCCTAAAGAAAGAGTTCCAAAATTGCTTTGAGAGGTAGACTAGGCATTGGTATCAGTGCATAGCTTCCCAAGGGGAGTACTTCAAGTGTGACCATAATGATATTCAGTAACGAGGTATGGAGCACTTTTTCTAGGGTGGTTCGCAAACCCAATTGTTGGGCCTTGTATGTTGTGAAGTGGAGAAGGCACGTTATAGTACAGTGGGTTCAGTATTGTTTGGTATCTAAAAAGCATACACCCATATGCACACACCGTCTCAGCTGGACCCCCACTTTCCTAATTGGGACTCATGGCTTCTGAGTAGGGAACCATTTACATTTGTCCTGCCCTCCCCTTTCCTGGAATCTGAACAAGTCACAAAATATGCTATCTACATGGCCAGAAAACTAATTAATTACCAAGAAATTATGAAGCAAGACCAGACCCTGCAGCTCTAACAAACTGACACAAAAGTATTTTTAAATGTTGAAACTCGGTGTTGGTGAGCATGTGGGGAAACACGCACACTGGGGAGAAAGCAAACGTGTCTCCCACTGAAGGACATTTTGTCAAAAACCTTCAAAAATGTTAAATTCCACTTACTTTGGGAATAGGTAGCATGGTCACATATTCCAAAATTCAAAAAGTACAAAAGAGCATCCAATTTAAATCCCTCTCCTACCCCAGCCTTCAACACCTACTTCATTTCTTCTGAAGCAACAATATGACCCATTTCCAAGATTTGTACATACATGTACACATATATGTATATATGTGTGTATATGTATATACATACACACACATGTATAGCAAATATCTGTGTGGACCAGCTTTACTGAACATGAATGGTATCACAGGATAGCTAGTACTCTCCATCTTAAAGTTTTACAAACTACTCAGACATTCACTGCTCAAAACTTATCCTAAATAAGTCATCATGGGTATATATAATACAATGATTTAGTTACAAGGGCGCCTTTTATGGTATCTTTTGTGATAGTAAAAAAAAATTGGAAACAACCTAAGTACCTGATAGCTGTTAGGTATCTGGTTATGATGCAGTCACACAGCCATTGAATGCAGCCATTGACATGGGATGTTGAAAAATATTTGTGAATGTGCTAAGTTGCTTTTTTACCAAAGATTTTAACTGGAAAAAGGAAGTGACACTACTGTGTATGTTTCATTTTTAAAAAAAAAAAAACAGGCATCACTGTGGACTCATGAGGAAATGTTGGCAGTGGTTACTATTGGGTAATTGAATTACAGGTTTTTTTTTGGTTTTGCTTCCTTGTTTGTTTAACAATGAACATAAACAAATTTTGTAGCTAGGCAGAAAAGCTATTTTTTGAAAAAATCAGATTGGGAACATAAGTGCTCAGTCTGTTTCAACTATTTTTAATCCTTAAACAATAGGAAGGGGGATACCCTTCAGAAATTACCAGAAGGGAAGGACTGAGCTCCTGGCCATCTGCCTTCAAGGGAACTTGAACAGGACCAGCTCTATTAGAAAAATCCCACCGATCTACCCAATTTCAAAGGGAGAATTCATGGAAAAGAGGATTCCAGGGCTTTTTTATATGGTATTTGTTGAAAGGGAACCGGGACCTGGGGCAAAGACTCAGAAAGGAAGACCTCCTCATTCCCAGAATGCCAACCTGAGGACTTAGCCTCTTAGCTCATGATGTCAAAGGCTCAGAGGATTCTCACTTATACCTTTCATCTGTTGCATCTAGGAGTTTTTCTATGACATCAAACACAGTGACCTGGCGAAGAAGTCACTGGACATCTCTGTCTGGGACTACGACATCGGCAAGTCCAACGATTACATTGGTGAGTTCTCCCGATGCCAAAGAACCACCCTCATCCTCTCCAAAAGAAAAGAGCCTTGCCCAAGGCTATGGTCCTTCCTTTTCTTTGACAGTCACATTGTTCAAATGCTAGGTTGGGACCATGGTCCAATTTGGGAATATCTTTATACAAAAAGTCTTACAAATTTTGGTTATCAGCTGAATGAGTTACCTTCAGGGAGTAAGGATGTCTGGGATAAAGGTTTCAGTTTTCCCAGTACCCCTCCAAAGGATGAGGAAGAAAAGAAATCTGAGAAAGAGCAGGGAGGAAACTCCAGGCAAAGGACAGAGTTTGAGCAAGAAGGGTGACAGCAAGATTGAGTAGGACGATGACACTGACTTGGTCAGGCATAGGGGCTCATGCCTATAATCCCAGCACTTTGGGAGGCTTAGGCAGGAGGATCACTTGCGCCCAGAAGTTTGAGACCAATCTGGGCAACATAGCAATAAAAAAAATTAGCTAGGTGTAGTGGTGCATGCCTACAGTCCCAGCTACTTGGGAGGCTGAGTCAGGAGGATTACCTTGAGCCCAGGATGTCAAGGCTGCAGTGAGCCATGATTGTGGCCACTGCACTCCAGGTGAGAGACAGAGTGAGACCTTACCTCAAATAAAAAAAGAAACTGATTTTTTGAAAGTAGATGATGAATTCCCAGGAGGAGGAGATACATTTCAGTGAGTAGGGTGGTGATTTGTAGAGTCTTAAAAAACAGACAATGAAGTCATGACTTGGTGCTACAGTAGGGAGCTATTGCAGGTTCTTGAGGCAGAGAAGACTAGTAATAATAATGATAATGATAACAATAGCAACAACATCCTAACAGCAACCCTCCCAAATCACTGTGGTCACTGCTTGGTGGCAGTTTTCCCCAACTGCACGTGGGTCTGGAAGGAGAGTCCCACGTGTCCCTCTCTTCTGATCTCCTGCCCCTGTCTTCCCATCTCATCCCCAGGAGGCTGCCAGCTGGGAATCTCTGCCAAGGGAGAACGCTTAAAACACTGGTACGAGTGTCTGAAAAACAAGGACAAGAAGATCGAGCGCTGGCACCAGCTACAGAACGAGAACCATGTGTCTAGTGATTAGGATCATGTCGAGGCCCTCAGCTCCACATCCCGCCCTTGCCCAGATCACCCCATCCTGCCCTAGCTGCCCACTGCGCTCTGGTCTCTCTTCTCTATGCCTACCTCCCCCTGTCCCCTGCTGCCCCCCTGAGCCTGCCTTCAAGGCCCTCCTCACATCGGGCACTGCTGCCAAAGACTCCTCCCTCCCCGATGCTGGGATGTGGGCTCTGAATCCAGCCCCTCTCTGGTCCCCAGGATGGAGCGTGGGGATGGGGGAGGGAGATGTTTACAAAGAGGTTGATCACTGAGTAACCTCTCTGTTTGGGTATCATTTGGGACTGTTTTAGAACCTCCTGGCCTTGAAAACACACACACACACACACACACACACACACACACACACACACACCACACACACACACACAGACCTTCTCTCTCTCTCTCTCTCTCTCTCTCTCTCTCTCTCTCTCTCTCTCTCTCTCGTTCCTGTGTCATGTCTGCACACACACTCTCAGTCAGCAGACCCAAAGAAGTGCTGGGGTATAAACAGGGGCCCATGGCTCCCACCGTCCCCCTAAAATACACACCCTGCTTGCCAGGAAAACAGACCACCGTGTTCAGGAACGAACCTTCCCTGCTCTGAGTGCACCAAGAAGCAGATGCATAGAATACCCAGAGGGACTTGGAAGTCTCCTCTTCACAATACCAACTCTTTGCTTCATAGCAAAAAATAATAATAAAGCCCTTTCTCTGTCACCTTCTCCCTTCTCCTCCTCCCTCTCTCCTTTCCCTAACTTCCATCACACGAAATCCCCCCTTTCTCTTTTTTCTCTCTACTCCCCACCTCTTCCCTTCCTATTCTCCTTCTCAAAGGCAGTATCACAGCAAAAACAAAAAAGTGGTTCTTAATCCAGCCTCAGCCCCTCGCCTCCCCTCACCAGCCTGCCCCGAAGACTCTGAGAAACTGGCCCAAAGCTGAAATGCCACTTGGGCCCACAACTTCTTAAATTGCACGCTCCTGTTGGCAAAGCCAGACATTCTCGGGCTTTGGGCCGGTGGCTGGCACTGCCCCGGTGCATGGCGGCATCCCTCAAGCCAGGGAGATGCCCCACAGAAGGGCTATCTCTGCCCTGGCCTCCCCAGGTGGGCCCAGAAGGCACTTAGAAAACCATGGTTATGGGTCCCAGGGGGCCCCAGCCAAAGCCCCCAGCCTTTATCCTTTCTTGCTCTTAGTTAAATGAATGAGCTACCCCTCCCTGATACCCTAAACTGTTTCACAGATTCTCTTGCATCCTGTCTCTCAGAACCACCCCAAGCCTCTCTGTCTCTCGTTGTCTCTCTCCTGCACTCTCTTTACTAAGTTTCCCAGGAGAATCAAATAACATCATGAATATGAAACTTTGGAGAGTGACAGACCCTGATGCCAAAGGCATTTGGTTCATCATAAATCATTCCCTTCTGTCTTTAAAAAAAAGGAGGGGGGAGGGGAGGGAAGGAAAGACATTGTGGACAAACACTATAGGAGAATTTGAAGTTGAGGCGATCTTCAGTGCCCCATGAGAGAGGTTTGGTTTTCCCAATTTCATTTGTCTTCCTAAGCCCCACCATTCTCTAGAGAAGCATCAGATGAACACTAAGATACCCACTTTCCCCCACATCACATCTTGTAATCTCCCCTTCACCCTCAGCATCCTGCACAGTTCATTTCTTACCTTGAATGACCATTTTCTAAACACCTTCGCCTTCCCAAGGTGGCCACTAGCTCCCGGCCTCCATCTTTCCTTTCGACTGTCTTTTCCCCATAGTCCCCCGTGATACCTGCCCTCAGCCCCCCTCCCTTCCATGGTTTGCCCTTAGGAGAAAGCATGCTGGCTGTTTCGCCCAAGCCTGACGCCATGTTGGCGCTGGAATCAGCATGCAGCAAGCTCACATTGCCCCTAGTCCGGGCGCATACTGTCCCTGACAAATGTAACCACCCCCTGCCTAGAATACACACACGCCCTCCGGTGCATGCACGACCGCCCGGCACCTTTCTGTGTGATGTAGCCAAAAAATAAAGTAGGAACGTCCAGGAAAACTGGTGGTCTGCGTTTTTCCTTTCTGGTTTCTGGACACATGCTATTCTGATCGGATTTAATGAGCATCTGCTATGTTCTAGGCACCAGGAATACAGCAAGCAAACAAGACAGGTATGGTCTCTGCCCATGTGGAGTTTACTTTCTGATGGATTTCATCTTGGGCAGAGGGGCTCAGGGTAACTCAGTGGACCCCACACACTCTTCCAAGAATGCTTTTGGCTAGTGCTCACTGTGAGGACTTTCAATCCTTTTCTTATGGTAATACGGTAGTTGTTCAAGGACCACTTATGAGTGAGAACATGTGAATATCTGCCTGGGAAGGGGGGGCACACCTCATCAAAAGGGTAGCTGCACAATAAATATTTGTATACCTAACCCTGAATTGTACCCCACAATTTTTTTTTGAGTTGGAGTCTCACCCCGTCGCCCAGACTGGAGTACAGTGGCCAGGGAGAAGACAGTATCTGCAACCTCCCCCACCCCTGCCTCAAACCCTGGGGACAGTCCCAAGTGATCGTGGAATCAGATGCCAAGGCTAAAAGAGACATGAGACTTGAGCCAGGATCTAGTTAAGTCAACTCACTTCTCAGGTAGATGAAGAAACCAAGGCCTGGAGAAGGAAATGACAGGAAAAGAGCCAGAGTGTGGGACTCCCAGTCCAGTGCTCTTAACACACTCATTAATAACATGGATCATCAAATGCTTCCCTGGCATTCTAGCTCCTTCCAACCTACAATCAGCCTTCAGAGACAGCCCCTCATTTGACATTCTTAACAGTCCTGAAAGAGAGCTGAGTGCATAACTCACTTCCCAGAAGGACTCTTTATCTCAGAATAATCTACCCCAAAAGTGCTTACGCAGTTCATCAGGAACGTTGGTTACTTCCAGAAGGAGCCATCAACTCTTATCTCAAAAAATCTTCTCTTCTAGGGGAACTTTGAGACTATTTCCTTTTTTTTACCCCCAAATGGTTGACTTTCAATATTGGGGGCAGAAGTTTCAATGTTAGAATCACTTGGGACATCTATTTTCAAACTACCCCTGCTCCGCCCCCCCATCCCATCTCCCCACGGATTCTTTTTTTCCTCTCTTTTAATTTTTATTTTAAAATTGTGAGCCGGGCTCGGTGGCTCAGCCTGTAATCCTGTGCTTTGGGAGGCTGAGGTGAGTGGATGGCCTGAATCCGCGGGTTCGAGACCCGCCTGGGCAACTTGGCGAGACCTCATCTCTACAATAAATCAAAAAATCAGCCAGGCATGGTAGCGTGTGCCTGTAATTCCAGCTACTTGGAAGGCTGAGGCAGAAGGATTGCCGGAGCCCAGCAGGTCGAGGCCACAGTGGCCGGGAGCGGCCACTGCACTCCAGTCGGGGCGACAGAGTGAGACTCCAACTCAAAAAAAAAATTGTGGGATACAATTCAGGGTTAGGTATACAAATATTCATTGTGCAGCTACCCTTTTGATGAGGTGTGCCCCCCCTTCCAAGGCAGATATTCACATGTTCTCACTCATAAGTGGTCCTTGAACAACTACCGTATTACTATAAGAAAAGGATTGACAGTCCTCCCAGATTGTGATAAACCCTGAGGACAAGGTGTAGAGCTGAAAATAGTTCCTGGTTGATGCCCTGTGATTCCTGCCTTCACTGTGGCTTTGAAAACCACTGCCCTAAGTGTCTTATCAGTTTTTTCTGCAAGTCTGCTAGCCGCCACCAGGTGGAGCGAGGTGCCAGTTAGGGCCATACAAGCCCTAGGACATCAGCAGGAGATGCTGCCTTCCGGTACTCATGGCAGACACCGCTAATCAATACAGCATCTTTCCCACAGAGCCTACAAACAACCTCTGAGTCCTTCTCAACATAGTGTCCGAGCAGCCATCACCAATCAGTCATGGGTGACAGTTGAAACTGGTTTATCTTCATCCAGCATGGAGACATGCTAACAGGCGAGATGAAGGGACATGAGGAAAGTCTTTGTAAATATTGGGACACCTGATCTGGCTAGTCATGCTCTTTCTCCCTCACTGAAATAGAACACTTTGCAAGCGGCAATGTGGTGTAGTAGAAAGCATCTGCTCCCAAAAGAACACCAGTCTTTTAATCAATTCAGTCTAGCATTCAAATTCTGACAGGTACTTTCTAGCTGTGGGACTTGGCCAAGTCATTTAACCTCTCTGAATCTGTTTCCTCATCTGGAAGAAATTGGAGCAATAATCAATGCTTCAAAAAGCTGCTGAGAGATTTTAATGGGATGATCAACCAAGAGTCCTTGGTACATAGCAGGGGCTGGATAAATACCATGTCAAGGCTGAGTGTGGTGGCTCATGCCAGTAATTCCAGCACGTTGAGAGGTGAAAGCAAAAGGACTGCCTGATCCCAGGGGTTCAAGACTAGCCTGGGCAACTTGGCAAGTCCTCATCTCTTCAATTTAAAAAAATTAGCCAGGTGTGGTGGTGCATACCTGTAGTTCCAGCTACTTGGAAGGCTGAGAAGGAAGGATCACCTAAGCCCAGCAGGCTGAGGCTGCAGTGACCATGACTGTGCCATTGCACTCCAGCCTGGGCAGCAGAGTGAGATGCCAACTCAGAAAAAAAACCCAAAAAAACACCATCTCGACTTGCCAGCCCCTCCCTTGGGCTCCCTCACACAACTCTCTTCAGGGAAAAAATGCCCTTGAGCTGATGTTGACTGAACACAGGACACTGGAGCTGAAGTGTCCTGGGAGAGACTCTGGCAAGGCAAAAAACACATCTCCAAGGTTTCTGCACAGACAGGATTGGAATCTCCGACTGGAGACCACAGCTAGAAATATTTATTCTGGGTAGGAATCAGAGGCAAGACCAAGGTGCCGATGCCTGGTCTCCCATCAGGGCTGACAAAGGTAAAGTCAGCAAAGAGGGTGTGTCCTGGGCTGATAGTGCCTGGTGAAAGTGGTGAAAGCCTCATCATTACTGGGCATGTGGCCAAGTGGATTAAACATTCAGCACTCTGAAACCTGCCAGGCTGGCCCCTGCTCAGTTTAATCAGAACTGACAGGGATGTCACCTGCTAAGGTTAAGTGATCCATTCGAGGTGGTAGATACCCCAGTGACCTGATTTGAGCCTTACACATTGTACGCCTGTATCAAAACATCTCATGTAACCCTATAGATACCCCCGGGGGTGCCAAAAAAGAGTATACACATTTTAAGAGACGTTATCTGTGTATTCGTGTCATCAGAAGTGTCTGGATGCTGATGGTAACCACTCTCAGCACAAGTCAAACGTGACTTGTTTTCATCTAAGACAGTTTTTTCCTTAAAATGTCTATACATTTTTGTGGCACCTTCCATATGTACAATCATTATGCACCCATAACCTTTACAAACTTTAAATCTAAAATATTTTAGAAATTTAAACAGCACCATGAAAACTAACGTATGCGCCAAATAGGTATAGTGTGCTTGGCTCTGGTCCAGATTTGCTATGTGACCTTGAACAAGGCACTTCCCCTTTTTGGTTCTTTGATTGCATCAGAGTATCATGATTCTCCAACTTCATTGTCATGCTCCACAAAGGTGCTGTCATTTCCCAGTCATTCTGTAAAGACCAAGACCTTTTGCTGAGGACAGACATTCAACTGGAGTCCTGACTTATCTTTCTTGCAAAGCACAAAAATGAGCCATCTATACTTTCCTGTTTCTGTTTTGTTAAAGGGAATAGTAATGTAAGGCCATCTGCAGAGGCCAACCCTGGGCATTATTGGATTTTTCCAGTGATTTTTTGAGTCTTTTCTTAGTTAATTCTATGAAACTTTGTTCTGTTGCATCTTTCCAAAGAATTCAATGTTGGTTTCCGGAAGACAGCCTTCTTTTGCACTCATGTTGGATCATGCTTGTAATCCCAGCACTTTGGGGGTGGAGGCAAGGGGATTGCCTGATCCCAGGGGTTCAAGACCAGCCCGCACAACTTGGCAAGACCTTGTCTCTTCAAAAAATAAATAAAAAATTGCCAGGTGTGATGGTGGATGCCTATAATTCCAGCTACTTGGAAGGCTGAGATGGAAGGATCACCTGAGCCCAGCAGGTCGAGTGCAGTGGCATGCTCATGGCCACCACAGCCTCAACCTGCTTGGCTTGGGCTATCCTTTCTGTGTCAGCCTTCCAAGTAGCTGGAACTGCAGGCATGTGCCACCACACCCAGGTAATTGTTTTCTTTTTCTGGATTTATTATAGAGAGAGGTCTTACTACGTTGCCCAGGCTGGTCTAGAACCCATGGGCTCAGGCAGTCTTCTGGTCTCAGCCTCTCAAAGTGCTGGGATTACAGGCTTTGAACTGCTGTGCCTGGCTATATATATGTTTAATCAAAAGTGTTTAACAGCTACATTTGCCATGAAGACATTTGAGGGCAAGCAGACTCTTTGGAAAACATGTGCCACAACTGGTGAAGGAAGTATTGCAAAGACAACCCCTCACCCACTTCAGGGTGACATTTTGCCTTAGGCAAAAGTCAACATATGCAGCAAGAGTAGAGAGTGTCCATTAGTCAACAAACTGGTTAGGGGAAATGTCTTAAAAAAGATAGTTGGCTCTTATGGAATACTTCAACAATAGAATACACATTTATCTCAAATTCACAGGGAATATTCACCAAGTCAGACCACATGATGGGCCAGAAAACATGCCTTACATGGAGATATGTCATATGCTTTTTGCCACAATGAAGTTAAGCAAGAAAGCAACAAACGAAAGTTAGCTGGAAAATTCCAAAATAGGAGGGACCCCAAATCCTGGAATTTATTTATAAAACTTGTGTATTTATTCTTGCATGTTTACACTTCAGTCACCTTCAAAGTGCTCTCCATTTGATGCAACGCACCTATCAAGATGTTTTTTCCACTGTCCAAAACAGTTTGTGCCTTTTAGTGCTTCTACCTTTTTTGTTTCACCTCTTCCACATTGGCAAAACATTTCCCCTTGACTTTTTTCATGGGAGAAACAAAAAAATTTGATTGGGTGAAATGGTGTGAATGAGGGAGTGAGACACACAGGGGTTATGCCGTTTTTCGGTCAAAAACTGCTGAACACTAAGCACAGTGTGGGCAGGTGCACTTGTAAATCACCCATCATGAAACGGGCAAATGCTTTGAAAGGTTCTCCAAAAAAAATTCACCGAAGTCAAACGGAGCCTCTCATGACAACACTAGTTGGTACACTGATGCCGATGGGTTCCTAGGACACTTACCTAGCCAGGATAGCCTGTACTACAAAGGGCCCACCCTCTAAAAGATAATTCCATGTTTTTTGGGAGACCCCCCCCCATACATGGAAATTAAATAACGCTTTGAAATAACACACAGGGTAAGGAAGAAGCCTCAAGAGAAATTTTAAAATATTTGGAACTAAACTAACAGGGAAAAAAACTGATCAATGTGTAGCAGATGTAGCAAGAGGAGTGTTTAGAGGGAAATTTGTAGCATTGAATGCCTAGTGCAGAAAAGAAGAATGATCTGACTCCGAGAGGGATGACTAGGGAGAGCCCCGGGGCACGGCAGGGTAGCCAAACTATTCTCCATGATGTTGTATTGGTGCATATGTGACATGGTCTATGTGGCAAAACCCGTGGAGCTGTACTACACAAAGAGTGAATCTTAAATTGTAGACTTTGGTGAATTATAATGTGTTAGTATCAAGTCACCAATTGTGAAATGTGTACCGCAGCAATGTTGATAACAGAGGAACTTATGGGCAGAAGGAGAGGGGGCTTATAGGAACTTTCTGTACTTCCCGTTAATTTTTTCTATAAGCCCAAAACTGCTGTAAGAAATTCAGTTTATTAATTAAAAGGAGGAAAAGTATACTATCATATCGTTTTTTAAAAAGAGATTGAGAATTGTGTTTGTGTGTGTGTTCATATAGACAAACATCTGAAAAGCTCTACACCAGAACACTTGTGGTGGCAGTTTTTGAGTTTTAGGATCGTGGGTCATCTTTGCACATTTTGATTTTGGGAAGTTTTTTCCTTTTTGAAGAATGCATGTATTGCTGGGGGAAACAATCATGGGGGACTATGAAACAATTTTGTCAACAACAAAAAAAGACAAAGAAGGAAACTTAAAAATCTGTTAAGTATGATTTCTCCTGGCCGGGGTTTAAAAAGCAGTATTTTCAGAGTGAGTCTGAAGCAAGGCTGGGCTGCCAGCTACTGGGTGAAGGCCAGACAGTGTCTAGAAAGTGGAGGAGCCAGAGACACAGTTCTGTGCTGGGATCAGGGAGTGTTTGATTTGTAAAAGGAGAATGCAAAGAGGCTCCTCCCTTCCCAGGAATCGAAACCAACAGCAGTCCAGGCTCAGCCCACAGAAAAAGGCCAAACAGAAGCCAGGTCTGTCCACGGCTCTCCTTCCCTCCCTGAGAATTGTAATGGACCTCAGAAGCACTCCTGCCCGGTTTCTGGACAAGTTCATTGAACTCTATCTCCTGCCGAACACACATTTCCGCATGCAGGTCAAACAAGCCATCCACATCATCTGCGAGTTCCTGAAGGAAAGGTGCTTCCGAAGTGGCCCCTACCGTGTGCGGATATTGAAGGTGGTGAAGGTGAGACCAGGCCTGCCTGACGAGTGGGGTGTGTGTGTGGGGGGGTGGCTGAATGGGCTAAATTTCCAACGGGGTGGGGGGAGAGGGAAGGAGGGAGGAGGGGGCAGGGGAAGATGAAGGGATGGGAGAGACAGAGATAGAGATGCAGGGAAGAGACAGGGATGGAGGAGGGAGAGAGGAAGAGAGAGAAAGGGGGGAAGAGGGAGGGGAGAGGCAGAGACAGAGATACAGAGATAGAGAGGAAGATGAAGAGGGAGAGAGGGGACGGGTGGGGGAGGGAGAGAGAGAGGAGAGGGAGAAGAAGAAGAGGAGAGGAGAGAGAGAGCAAGAGCTAGAGCCAGAGAGAGAGAGAGAGATCAGGCCAGCCCAAGAGAGCAGAATCACAACCCGGGGTGCAAACATGAGACCGAGAGTTGAGATCTAGGCTGGTGGTTTCTGAGTTTCCATACAGCTTGTGACAATAAACTCTGGGGTGAGAGCCTACATCCCTATTATTAACAAGTGCCCCCATGAAGTTTATGAACCACTATCCTAAGCCATGCTCGTTTAGGAGATAGGAAAACTGAAACCCAGCTCTTGGAAACAATTTGCTAATCAGTGGCCAGGCCGGGGACTCAATATTTCTATAATGTCATGAGCTGGTTAAGAACAGACATACTTTGTTTTGCTGTTTCTTTATTTTTAATTTTAAATTTATTTATTTTTTAACTTATTTATTCATTTATTTATTTATTTTTAGGCAGGGTCTCATTCTGTTGCCCAGGCTAAAGTGCCGTGGCACAATCACAACTCACCACAGCTTTGACCTCCTGGGCTCAGGCAATCCTTCCACCTCAGCCTCCTGAGTATCCAGGACTACAGGCACACGCCACCACGCCCAGTTAATTTTTTTGTGTTTTGGGTGGAGATGAGGTCTTACTATGTTGTCCAGTCTGGTCTTGAACTCCTGGACTCAAATGATCCTCCCACCTCAGCCTTCCAAAGTGCTGGGATTACAGGCCTAAGCCACTGCGTCCAGCCTAATTTTTAAATGTTTTCTAGAATTAGGGTGTGTGTGTGTGAGGATTTCTTCATGCATATACTGCGTAGTGATGGAGCCTGGGCTTTTAGTGAACCTATCACCTGAACAGTGAGCATTGTACCCAATGGACAATTGTTCAACCCTCACTCCCATCCATTCTCTCACCTTCTGTGGTCTCCTGTATCTCTGTGTCCATGTGGACTCATTGTTTATTTCCCACTTATAAATGAGAACATGAGATATTTGACTTTCTGTTGCTGGGCTGTTTCACTTAGGATAACGGCCTCCAATTCCACCCATGTTGCTGCAGAAGACATGATTTCATCCTCTGTTATGGCTGAGTAATATTCCATAGTGTATCTGTACCACATTTTGTTTTTGTTGTTGTTGTTTTTGAGTTGGAGTCTCACTCTGTCACCCAGACAGGAGTGCAGTGGCACGCTCCCGGCCACCGCAGCCTCGACCTGCTGGGCTCCGGCGATCCTTCCACCTCAGCCCTTCCAAGAAGCTGGAACTACAGGTGTGCACTACCATGCCTGACTAATGTTTTTAATCCAGTCATCATTGACGGACACTTAGGCTGCTTTCATATCTTTAAGAGCACATATTTTTTGCTTTTCCCCATAACATTTAATTTATTTTATTTTAAAGATGTGGAGGACAATTCAGGAGTAGGTATACAAGTGGTCATTGTACAGGTAAAGTTTCGGCTTACCTTTGATCCCCACTTTACCTGGTTTGAGATCAGTTACCCTTATTAACGTTATGTACTTCCCCCCTGCCCCTGGCTGTATCCAGCTACTGTCAATCCCTTTCTTGTAGAATTATAGTAAATGTTCAGGGTCTGCTTATGAGTGAGAACATATGGTACTCAGTTTTTTGTTTCTGTGATAGATCACTAAGTATTATAGACTTTAAATCCAAAAGTTGCTGCGAAATCCATAATTTTGTTCTATTTTCATGGTTGCATGATATTCCATCATGTATATGTACCACATTTTAAAAATCCAGTCCAGTTTTGATGGGCAGCACGGTTAGTTCCATGTTTTTGGTATTGTAAATAGTGCTGTAGTAAACATAAGAGCACACACTTTGTAAGCAAATAGCACCTACTGACTGTGAGACCTTGAGGAAGTCACTCATCTTCTTTGTGTTCCAATTTCCTCACCCACAATTCACAATACCTCATAAGGTCATACAGATTAAGTAACACAATGAGTGTAAACCACAAAGCACCAGTCAGCCTTAGGTGTATAGTAGCATAAGATAGTAAAGGATGGGAGGAAAGAACACAGACCTTGGAATAAGGCACCCAGGGTTTGAACTGCACCTCTGTCACCTACTAGCTCAGTGATTGGTCTGATCTATAACCTCACTGAGTATCTGTTTTCCTGTCTGTAAAACAGGAGCTAATACTAGTACCTAAATCACTATGAGCATTATAGAAGTTTAAGATGAATAATGCTCTCAGAATGGTAGCTATAGTGCAACAATGGTAGTGATTGCTGCTGACATTTTATTTATGGAGGCTCCTCTCACTAATCTCAGATATTATTCTTGTCATCTCTTTTAGGGTGGCTCCTCAGGCAAAGGCACTGCCCTCAGAGGTCGATCTGATGCTGACCTGGTTGTCTTCCTCAGTCCTTTTGACAGTTTTCAGGATCAGTTACATCTCCGGAAAGAGTACATTGAGGAAATTAGGAGACAGCTGGAAGCCTGTCAAAGAGAGAAATTGTTTAGCGTGGAGTTCAAGGTCCAGAATCCATTGTGGAACAATCCCCGTGCACTGAGCTTTGTCCTTAGTTCCTCTCAGCTCAAGGAGGAGGTGGAGTTTGATGTGCTGCCTGCCTTTGACGCCCTGGGTGAGTGCTCCCAGCCACAGGGGTTTCAGCCTATGTCCTATAGCTTCCTACTGCTCAGCAGCAATCCCCCGAGTTTGAGAGTTCTTCCCCCAATAAGGCTTATCTCTAAAGAGAGGTTTTAGATTCTCTCCTGGGATGAGAAGAATGAATGAGATCATCATTCATCACAGGAGAGACATCAAACAGCCAATTGGGACATTTCTTTTTTTTGAGTTGGAGTCTCACTCCATCGCCCAGGCTGGAGTGCAGTGGCACACTTATGGCCTCCCCAGCGTCAACCTGCTGGGCTCCAGCAATCCTTCCGCCTCAGCCTTCCAAGAAGCTGGAACTACAGGTGTGTGCTACCATGCCCAGCTAATTTATTATTATTATTATTATTATTTATTTTAGAGATGAGGTTTCACCAAGTTGCCTAAGCTGGTCTCGAACCCATGGACTCAGGCAATCTAGGGACATTTCTTATAGAACATCTGCAGGGTTGACTGGTTCCAGAGGATATGAATTTTACCTTTCTAAAATCGGGCAGTGCAGATCTGGCTTAAAGCTCTTGTTAAGGTCATTCTTGGCCCAACACACGAGGAACCCTCATCAAGCGCACACTGCAGGTTGGGAGGCAGGTGTGTGTAGCCCGTAGGACATTTGGACAGAAAGGGGAACCTCTCAGAGACTCAACTTCCACATCAGGAAACCTGGCAAAGTCGTACTACCTCTATCATACATTACTTTAAGTATTAAAAGATCGTCTACATTAAGCACCGATACATCGTAGGTATTCCCAAACTTGAATTTCCCAACTGTACATGAAGCACCTCAGGGGTGCATGGAATAGCTTAGATTGTAAGTTTTTGAGGGAATGTGACAACATCTGTCAGACACCACGCAAACAGCTACTATTGTGCTGTTCTGACTTAATTAGTAATATGGTGGTGTGCACCTGTAGTCCTAGATACTCAAGAGGCAGAGACAGGAGGATCACTTGAGCCCAGATGTTTGAGGTTATGGTGAGCTATGATTGCACTACTGCACTCCACAGCCTGGGCAACAGAGCAAGACCTCATCTCTTTAGAAAAAGAAGGAGGAGGAGGAGGAAGAGGAGGATGAGGAACACTTTAAGCAGAGGGAACTGCACAAAGTCCCAGCAGTTAGGAAAGAGTGAGGTACATGGGGAAAACCACAGGCAGCTGAGTCTGAAGCAGCAGAGAGGGCGAGGAGGAAGTGACTGAGCCTTGAGCCAGGAGAGCCACTCCATCAGAAGTCCATCATCCTGGCAATGAACTTCCCCTGAGCACAATGGGCAGCCACGGAAGGACTTCCTGAAGGGAAGTAACATGATCAGATTTATGTTTTAGAAGCAGCATTGGCTGTAGTGTGAGCACGAGATCCGATGGAAAGAGAGACAAGACCAGGGAAGGAAGACCTCCAAACAGCAACTCTCAGCTCAGATTATCCACTGAGCACCTACTGTGTGCCAGGCACTGTCCTCCAGCTGTGAATTAGCCAGACAAGGAACCTGTCTCCTGGAGCCTGACAATAAACATCTAGACAAGATATATGGCCAAGCGTGGTGGCTCTTGCCTGTAATCACAGCACTTCGGGAGGTGGAGGTGAGAGGATTGCCTGAGTTCAGGCATTTGAGACCAGCCTGGGAAACTTGGCGAGACCTCATCTCTACAATAAATCAAAAAATTAGCTGGGCATGGTGATGCATACCTGTGTGGTTCCAGCTACTGGAAAGGTGAGGTAAAAGGATCACCTGGCCGGGCTCAGTGGCTCAGCCTGTAATCCCACGCTTTGGGAGGCCGAGGTGAGTGGACTGCCTGAGTCTGCGGGTTTGAGACTCGCCTGGCAACTTGGCGAGAACTCATCTCTACAATAAATTAAAAAATTAGCCGGGCATGGTAGCGCGCACCTGTAGTTCCAGCTACTTGGAAGGCTGAGGCGGAAGGATCGGCGGAGCCCAGTAGGTCAAGGTTGCAGAGTGAGACTCCGACTCAAAAATAAATAAATCAATAAAAGAAAGGATCGCCTGAGCCTAGCAGGTCAAGGTTGCAGCTGCCGGGAGCAGCCACTGCACTCCAGCCTGGGTTACAGAGTAAGACCAATCAATCAATCAATAAGATATATGGAGTGTTACTTGCTGTGATGTTAAAAAAAAAAAAAACCGAAATAGAGTTTTACTATAGAGAGTGATGGGGGTTGGAAGATTTTAAATGGAGTGGTGAGGGAAGGCCCCCTGAGGATGTGACATCTGAGCTGAGCCCCAAGAAATGAGAAGGTGGGAAGCTGTGGGAAGATCTGGGGATTCTGGAAAGCGGAAACAGCAAGTGCAAAGGCCCTGAGGCAGGAATGAGCTTGGCACATTTAAGGAAGAGAAAAAAGATCAGGGGAGTTAGTGGGAAAGGAAGGCAGGGGGTGAGATGAGAGAGGTCACACTAGACTTCACTCGCCCCCACAGGGACTTGGGGCCTTTTTATTCCTAATGTTCAGAGAAGCAGGAAGTGGCATGATTGGAATGTAAAAGACCTCTCTAGGTCTGGGAACCAGTGAGGAGGATGCTGCCCTAGTCCAGGCAGGAGGTGATGGTGGCTTTGACCGGGTGATGGAGGTGGAGATGGAAGGAAGGAGGACCGGGGATGAACCTCAGGCTTTGAGCCCTGGGTCTACTGCCGCTTCCACTGAGCCCCATGGCCAGGGAGCCTGTCCCACCAGAGTGACTGAAAGGGCCACACAGAGGAGCTGGCACCTCAAAGTGATGGTTCTGCCCTCACAGGTCAGTTAACCACAGGCTATAAACCAGACCCCAAAGTCTACGTTGAGCTCATCCAGGAGTGCACCCGCCTGAAGAAAGAGGGCGAGTTCTCCACCTGCTTTACGGAGCTGCAGCGAGACTTCCTGAGGCAGCGTCCAACCAAGCTGAAGAGCCTCATCCGCCTCGTCAAGCACTGGTTCCAAATTGTAGGGTCCTGTTGGGATGGCGGGGGTGGGGGGGTATTGGCAGACAGAGCCAGAGCGAGGGCAACAGGAAGAGGGAAAGGGAGTGGTGGAGGAAGCAGAGGGAGGGGAAGGAGAGAGAGGAAGACGAGGTGGGGAGGAGAGAGGAGAGGGTGAAGCCACAGGAGGAAGGAGAAGGAAGGGAGGGGAGGGGAAGAGGAGAGAAGGGAGAGACTGTCGTGTTGTGTTCACTGCTGTAGCCCAGATCTTAGTACCTGGTGCTCAACACATAATTGTCAAATAAATGAGTGGATGCTATGACCACACACGCATACACATACACACACACACACACACACACACACACACACACACACACACTTCGCTCACACAGAGTCAACCACACTCTTCAGAAGGTGGACAGGGTAAAACAGGGGCTTCAAACAAATATGTGTCCATATCCTTCCTGCCACTTCCTGGCTGGCTGACCTTAAGTAGGCAACTTAACCTCTCTGTTCTTTGTTTTCTCATTTGCAGAGAGTGACATGCCATAGCAAGTGTAACGTGGTGCCTGGCACATGGGTGATCCTAGTAAATGTTACTTATCTTAGCCACCACGAGAGTACATATAATAAAATCTTACCTGTATTGTGTGCTTAGCTTAGCTTTCTGCCTTTTGTGGATGTGATATGCCTTTCTGTTCACTTTTCAACTCTCTTGTGTCTTAGTCAACCTTCACAGCGATTCTGTGTGCTAGATATTATCATTAAACCCATTTTACAGAAAGAGAAACTAAGGATCAGATGGCTCAATCAGGTAAAAAGTAGCAGAACTAAAGCTTGATTTTGGGTCTACTAACTCAAGAGTTTGCCCAATAACAATAAGCATTTGATGTATATTTTTCTTTCTTTTTTGAGTTGGAGTCTCACTCTGCCGCCCAGGCTGGAGTGCAGTGGCCGCTCCCGGCCACTGCAGCCTCAGCCCGCTGGGCTCCGGTGATTCTTCCACCTCCGCCTTCCAAGTAGCTGGAACTACAGGCGTGCGCTACCAAACCCGGCTAGTTTTTTGATTTGTTGTAGAGATGAGGTCTCGCCAAGTTGCCCAGGCAAGTCTCGAACCCGCGGGCTCAGGCAATCCACTCACCTCGGCCTCCCAACGCGCAGTATTACAGGCTTAGCCACCGAGCCTGGCTAGATATATATATTTCTTGAATGAATAAATGAAAATAATTAGGGGTAACTCTCCTACTATAAAATCAACACCTGTAGGCAAAACAAGACACTTAACTTAGTTGCTAGACTTCTCAGTGTTTGCTGCTCTGGGAATCTGAATCACGGAGGCTGAACATTGCAGAACTTAATAAAAGTGGTGGTTAAGAGCAGCGCTGCTCCCAGGGACATACTGAAAATTAGTGAGGGCATCCTTGTAACCATGGTAATGGAGGGACAAAGAGATACTTATATTTAGTGAAAGAAAGGCAAGAATACTAGTTGTTTTACGATAACCAAGATAGCCCTGCACAGCCAAGAATTATCTTTCTTTTTCTTTCTGGATACTATCTGCCTCTAAATGCAAGAGTATGACAATACTTTAACTCCACTAACCACCATCACCACTACCTACAATTTATATACTACTTTTATGGTGTATTTCAAGTCTCTATATTTTCAAGTTCCTCAGAGCATTATTATTGTTTTACAGAGCCAATGTTTATTTAATCTACCCATGTATTTACCATTTTCTTCACTATTAATTTTTTTCTACATCTCTAAACTTCTGAGTCATTTCATAAAGTACATCCTTTAGGATTTCTTTCGGTGACAGTCTAGTGGTGGTAAACTCTCTCAGTTTTTGTTTGTCTAATAAAATTTTTTTTGACCTTCATTGGTGAAGGGTACTTTTGCTGAGTTAGTGGTCACACTGAATATATCATTCCATATTCTAGTGTCATTATTAAGTCAGTTGTCGGTCTACCTGTGGCTCCTTTATAAGTAACCTATCTTATTCCTCTGGCTGCATCTGAGAGTTTTCTCTTTGATTTGGTTTAGCTTCAATCTGGTGTATCTTAATGATGATTTTTATTATCTGTTGTGCTTGGTATTCCTTTGGAATTCTGCACCTGTGAATAGATATCTTTCATCAATTTTGAAGCTTCTCAGCTATCCTCCTAAAATATTGTTTCTCCCTCCTTTCCTAGCTTCCTGGAATTCCAATTAAAAATATGTTAGATCTCTTTACTCTATTTTTCATATATCTACACTTTCTTCTGTATTTTCCATCTTTTTGTCCATATTTCATGATTTATTCTGAATTTTCTTCTTGTCTACTTTCCAATTGAGTAGTTTTATCTCTTTTTTTTTTTGAGTTGGAGTCTCACTCTGTCACCCAGACTGGAGTGCAGGGGCCGCTCCCAGCCACTGCAGCCTTGACCTGCTGGGCTCCGGCGATCCTTCCGCCTCAGCCTTCCGAGTAGCTGAAATTACAGGCATGCGCCACCACGCCCGGCTGATTTTTTGATTTATTGTAGAGATGAGGTCTCGCTGCCCAGGAGGGTCTCGAACCTGCGGGCTCAGGCAATCCACTCACCTCAGCCTCCCAAAGGCGCGGGATTACAGGCTGAGCCACCGAGCCCGGCTGACTAGTTTTATCTTTAGCTATGTCTACTTTGCTGTTAAGTCACTAATTACAGTTATTGTCATTTATATCCTAGGATTTCTATTTCATTTTTTTTCATATCTACCAAGTTACTTTTTATAGCTTTTAATTTCTGGCTGACTACTTAAAGCTCTTATTTTATTTCTCTCAACATGATATTACTAGTTATTTAAAAGTTTCTGTTTAATCCTTCAATATTTAATGTTTTGTAGAGTCATTACTATTTCTCCTTTATTCTGTTGGTCATCACTCTTGGTGTCTTGGTTTGTTTGTTTGTTTTAATGTGCCTGGTTATATATGTGCTGGTGACTATCCTTGAAAATTATTTATGAAATAATTTGAAATTTGGGGTAATGCATATTCCTCCAGAGGAAATTTGTTTGCATCTCTGTGGCTCTTAGGAACACTACAAGTCCTTCCTCTCAGTGAATTTTCATAGTCTCCTCATAAGGCAGATGCTATTATTACTGCTTACTTAGCAGATGACAAAAGTGAGACTCTGAGAGTCGAAGTGATCTACTCAGAATCAGACAGTGCTGGAGCCAGGATTCACACCCACATCAGTAAGAATCCCAAGCTCAAGCTCTTAACCAGGGACCAAGAAACTTTTTCTGTAAAAGGCTAGATAGTAACTATTTTAGACTTTGTGGGCCACATGGTCTATCACAACTACTCAACTCTGCCTTTGTGACCTGAAAGCACCATGACTGTACATACATGAATGGGCATGACTTTGTTCCAAGACAGCTTTATTTACAAAAGCAGGTGGCAGGCTACATTTCTCCCATGAGAAATGTATTTTACACAAAAGCTGGACACCCCGTTTTTTAATGGTGTTTCCTCTTCTCAGTGTAAGGAGAAGATTGGGAAGCCACTGCCACAGCAGTATGCTCTGGAGCTGCTGACAGTCTATGCCTGGGAGAAATGGAATGGTGAAACAGAATTCGAGACAGCTCAAGGATTTCAGACCGTCTTGGAATTAGTTATAAACTACAAGGAACTTTGCATCTACTGGACAGTAAATTATGACTTTAGCAACTCTGAGATTAAAGAATACCTGAAAAAGCAGCTCGAGAAATCCAGGTACCCTCTCCCCATATGGCTCAGCTCTCCTACATAAGGGAACCCTTGGATACAGCTGCAGTGCCTTGGAAATGGAGGGTATGGGAGGGCTCCCCACCTGCTTAGAATCTTCTGTTGCCTGTCATGGGGCTGGGCACTTTCCTGCTGCCATCCAATTTAAAGAATAACCTCTGACACTTTGAGGCAGGCACTATGCCAGTAGTTTTACAGAAGAGTAAACTGAGGCTCTGAGAAGTAAGAAATTTGTCCACACCCTAACAAAAGATGAGTGAAATTGCTGGAACCTGAGCTGAAATAACAACAGCAGCAGCAACAATAACAATTGCTTCCAGGAATTGAAAGTTTGCTGTAAGACTGACACATCCTAACATAGAAGTAAAACTGACTATCAGTATAATTGACATGCACTAACCCCTTGTTATGGTCACATGACTTGGTTTTTCCTATTCACACACTACATCCTTTGAAATAGGCATGTAGAACTCTCCCTGTTTCACAGATGGAGAAACTGAGGCTTAGAGAAATCAAGTGATGACGGGCCCAAAGGCATATCCCTGATAAAGGACATAGGTGGAATTTGAACCACATTTTTCGGGACCAAGTGCAAGGCTCCTTCTCCTCATGCTCACTGCCCACTGGAGGACAGGGTCTGGGGACACACCCCAGGGGGCCCCTTCTGATACCCTGAGTCCCAACCTACCTCAGGCTGGTGTGTGGTTCTGTCAGGAGCATCTGGGCTCCCTGGACAGAGCCCCAGTTCCTCACCTCACTCTCTAAACATTACTCTGTAGGCCTGTGATTCTGGACCCAGCTGACCCTACAGGAAACGTGGGTGGTGGAGACCCAGAGGGCTGGCGGCGGCTGGCACGAGAGGCTGAAGCCTGGCTTGGAACCCAGTGCTTTATAAAATGGGATGGGTCTCCAGTGGGCTCCTGGATCACGTCGGGGAGAACTTCTTTCCACAGAACTCACCTCTTGCTAAAGGTAACTTGTAGTCGCACAGTTATAGGCTGTGCTCCACACTTCACAGTCATCTGGGCCACCACCAGAGGGTTTCTGGAATTTTCACATCACCTTGTCCACAGTTCATTCTACTAGGAGTAATAATACATAATAACAGCCACCACTTATTGGTTTGGGCTCAGACTCTGACCTAAGTAAGCCCTTATTTGTCTTATTAGACACTCACAACAATCCCGTGAAGTATGTTTTCTATTGGGCCCATCTTCTAGATGAGAAAGAGGCTCAGAAGGTGAAGTCACTTGCTCAAGGACACTTAGCTAAGGAGGAACAGGGCTGGGATTCAGGCTTGGTGGACTCCAAAGTCAGTACTCATGTCACTATGGTAAATAGCATGCCCTGTCTTGTCTACACTTAACAGTTGGCAAATGGGAGACTCAAAGCAGTTGAGTTGCTTGGTCTGTCACATAGACAAGTAGGGGTGGAAGGACCCATGCTTGGATTCTTCCACTCACTGGGTAGGAGTCTTTCTGACACCAGGGGATGACGATATCACAGGTGGCATCCCTAGGGAGCAGCTCGAGATGGAGTTTAATGTGAGAGGGGAGACCATAGGGAGATGTGAACTGAGATACAGAGCAAATTGCAGCCTTGGTCAACTCCAAGGACAGACAGACCTGCAGCTAGAATAGCCTTGAGAGCTGTCCCACTGCAGGCAGAGGGGACCAGGCCTTTATACCCCTAGTGGATCAGTCACTGAATGTGGGCACCTTAGGAAGGAGTGGGGCTTTGAGCAAAGGCTCTTACAACTTAGGCAAGCCCTAAATGAGTCCGTGGCCAAAGTCTGCCTCTGACCACCATCCCAGCTTCTGCAAAGGGGTGTCCAGATAGCATGCCACGGTGTCCACATGAAATGCTCACTGAGGTCCAGCTCCATGGCAAGAAGACTAGCTCCCTGATGTGACCATGTGTTTTACCCTTTCAGGATGAAAGCGACAGTGAGGACCAGGAGACTTGGGCTAATGAGGCGTATCCAAGACAAGGTTATGTTGGGACATATCAGTATCCTGATTTCTCTCAGCACTACAGCACATCCCAGGCAGTGCCCACTCCACAGACAGAAGAAAACTGGACATGCGCCATCCTTTGAATGCCAGTGCATCTTGGGGGAAAGGCTCCAGAGTCATCCAGACCAGCCTCCTCACTCCTCATTTCCAGGCAGGACCCTTGATCTGGGAGGATAGGAGATTACCCCAAGTCCTCAGTGAAGCTGGTGTACAATCTAGGATCAGAACCCAGGTCTCCTGACCCCTGTCCTTCCACACCCTCTCTCCTGTCATAGATAGCACTACCCACAGCCCCGCCTCACTCTGCCTGTTCTCGGACAACATTCCCTGAGAGGCACCAGAGAGATGTAGACAAGAGAGTAGGATTTCAGTTTTGACTTTCTTCTGTGTTTCTGATAGAAGGGTTATGTTCAATGTATTATCAATAATAACAAAAAGATAAGCAAATAGCATGTATTGAGTATTTATTAACTTCAAGGCACGGAGCCAAGAAGTATAGATGCGCATGTGTGTGTGTGCATGTGTGTGTGTGTGTGTTCATTGATTTAACTAGAAATACTAATTGAACACCTACTGTGTGACAAGCATAATTTTGGCCACTGAGAACACAGTAATGAGCAAAAGCAGACAGAAGTCCCTATCCTCATGAAGTTGGCCTTTGTGCAAAACATTTTAATATCAGATGGTTTTCCCATTTCAAATAATTCTGAGATAAGCATCTTTGGCTCATTCTTGTCTACATCTCTAAGAAAATTTCCAGAACTACTCTGCCTAATACAGTACCCACTAGCCATATGTGGCAACTGAGCACTTGAAAAGCAGCTAGTCCAAATCTAGATGTGCCGTAAGTGAAAAATATACACTGGGTTTCAAAGACTTAGTACAGAGGAAATAATGTCAAATTCTTGACAATTGAGTCTTGAAAAATGGATTGTGTGTTGAAATGACAATTTTTTAATATATCGAGTTAAGTCAAAATGAACTTCATCTGTTTCTTTTCACTTTTTTAGTGTGGCTACTAGAAGATGTAAAATCAAGCCAGGCTCGGTGGCTCAGCCTGTAATCCCAGCACTTTGGGAGGCTGGGGCGAGTGGATTGCTTGAGTATATGGGTTCGAGAACAACCCAGGCAACTTGGCGAGACCTCATCTCTACAATAAATCAAAAATTAGCTGGGTATAGTAGCACATGCCTGTAGTTCTGGCTATCGGGAGGCTGAGGCAGAGGGATCGCCGGAGCCCAGCAGGTCAACGCTGGGGTAGCCGTGAGCATGCCACTGCCTGGGTGACGGAGTAAGACTCCAACTCAAAAAACAATTTAAAATCACACACGTGACTTGCACTATATTATATATTTCTATTAAACAGCTCTAACCTGGGAGTGAACCACTGGATTAAAGAATAGGCTACCACGATTTACATTGTCACAGAGTCACACTGTATTAGTCCGTTTTGTGTTGCTATCAGGGAATACCTGAGGCTGGGTAATTTACAAAGAAAAGAGGTCTATTTGGCTCACGGTTCTGCTAGCTGTACAAGAAGTATGGCACTCACTGACATCTGCTTCTGGTGAGGCCTCAGGAAGTTTCCAATCACAGTGGTGAGGAAGGGGAGCCAGCATGTAGCATGGTGAGAGGGGAAGCAAGAGAGAGGGAAGGAGGTGCCAGCCTCTTTTAAACAACCAGTTCTCTCATGAACTAGTAGAGAAAGAACTCACTCATTACTGGGAGGGACTCACTCATTACTACGAGGGATCCGCCCCCATGACCCAAACACCTCCCACCAGGCCCTGCCTCTAGTACTTGGGATCACACTTCAACATGAAATTTGGAGAAGACAACATCCCAACCATGTCACTGTCCTTGGTACCCAAAACCAGCATTTCATTTACAAGACTCCAAAATATAAAACTCCCATACATAGATAAAAAAGAACTAAGAACAGAAAAGATCTAAGCCTGCTCTTATCATCTAAGTTGCTAGTAAACCAGGTGGCTAGCAAGAAGTCTTTGGTTTGTTGAGATTACTCTTATTTCACTAGCATCCCTATGAGATAGACTTTATTGTTATTCTCATAATAAATGGAAGAACTTGAGGTTCTGAGAGGTTAGGACACTTGCTCAGAGTTACCCAGCTGGTCAAAGTTAGAATATGAACTTGTACCCTAATCCTTCTCTCTCTGAAGTTCATGTTCTTAATCCCTGCAGTATGGTCTTAATATGTCCTTATTTGTTGAATTCTTATGTTAAGTCCATGAGAACAAGAAGCACCAGTGTTCAAGGGCAGGAGAAGACGTATGTGCCAACTCAATCAGACAGTAGATTCACACCTCCTCTGCCATTTTGTTTCATGTAGACCCTCAGATTGGATGATGCCAGTCTGCTGATTCAAATGCTAATCTCTTCCAGAAACACTCTCACGGATACATCTAGAAATAATGTTTTACAGCTACCTGGGTATCCCTTAGCCCAGCCAAGTTGATACATAAAATTCACCATCACATACTCCATGCTGATAGGGAAATATAGGCATTCCATATAAGGCTGCCTTGTATTTTACTGTGTGTACAACCCATTTGTGTTGTCTTCTGTGAGTATTTCACAATTATAAACAACTCTACAAGGAGGGGCACACATCATCAACAAGGGTACCTGCATAATGAACATTTGCATAGCTAACCCTGAATTATACCCCACATCTTTAAAAGAAAGAGGAAAACAAAAACAATGCTACAATCAATAGTAGGTTAATTGAGTCAGTAAGTAGTTACTTAACTGAAGAGCCACATGGCTGTATGATTAGGCTTCCTTCCATCTACAACAGGCCCTAATAACACACCAGGATTATTGTTCAAAGGGCATATAATATTCTGCTGCAAATAACATGGGTTTACTCCATAGCCCTAGAGGTCTGTTTATAATTCTCTAACTGGGGATTTCCATAATCTCCTCATAGCCTCTTCCCATGACTGACATTTATAATACTACGGGGTCTGCCAGGGTGTATGGTCCACGTGGTAGGCCACAGCATCCTTCAGGACCTAACAGCAGTGCTAATTTCTGCACTTCCCTCACCATGGGATGTGCTATTGATTTTGATTTACTATCCTGGCCAGGGAAGTGTCAGTTTCAAAGGCATCTCCGTGACCCTTCTTCAGTGTGAAAGTCTTTACTTACCCCACAGGCTAATGTGGGGTTATGTCTTTTACCACGTATGTCTTTTCTGAATATATATTCAGGCAGAAAAATGACCGCCAGGTCCACAAAGGAGACACATTATGAACCTAACGTGGCCAGGGATCCATTTTTCACTCGCAGTCCCCACGTGCCCCTACTCTGATGGTGGCAGAGCCTGGCGACATGTTGGGCTTTTGTGCATCATTATCAATGCCGATCCTCTGCCCAACAATCTTTGGAGTGGTTGGGAATTCCTCCTTTTACATTCCCTGAATAAGTGGCCAGAGGTCCTTTGGGGAGAAACCACTACAGTCTCTGCTGTGGTGTTGCAGGGTCCTTTTCCTGGAGGACACTGCCTCCTCTTCAGCCAGTGGGATCCAGTCTGAAAACTGAGTCAGGCCCAGATATTGGGTAAGGGTTGATGACTTTTTATTGGAACAACTGTCCTCAGCCTCCTGGTGATCCAGCCTTGATTTCTTGTAATTGTCAAAACTGAGTAGTGCCCATTTTGGCTACCTGCCAGTTAAGTCATAAGGATGCCACGTTGTATTAACCAGGTCCACAATTCTCTGTGGGTCGGGAACCCTGGCTGCCCCACCATCCAACCTCATTCATTATAACCATTGCACCCTACTGGGCTCTATTGTTTCAGGAGTCCTACCCTCCCCAGTGCTATCACCAGTCCACGCTCTGCAACAGTCCCTGTTCCAGGAAGGCTGACACCAAAACCCTTCAGGATGCAGACCCCTCTCTCCAGCACAATCCTTGGGGAATGATTTATCCTCTGGGCTGTCCCTGGTGGGATTTCCAGCATTACATAGTAAATATACCCACTTCCCTCAGCCTTCTCACGCCTTCCTCCACCATCTGCCATGGCAGTTCTGATTGTAATGGCATTATGATTTTAATTTGCATTTCCTTAACTACTAATAAGACTGGTCACATTTTTATATGATGGTAAAATATGTCATTTGATTTTCCTTTGTTGTGAAGTACTTGTGAAAAACTCTTGCCCATTTTCTCCTAGATTGTCTGACTTTTTATTATTGAACTGCACAAGTATATGTGTGTGTATACATATATAGAGAAAGAATTGTAAAATATACATCTGTATACATACATATCCATACACATATTTAAGTGGTTTGTAGAAAATAAGTTTACACATATATACATATGCATGTATCTGTACTAAGTATATATACAAACACACATATAACTACACATATATGTACATATATATATACAAGGAGTGCCAAAAAAGTATACACATTTTAAGAGATATTATCTATATGTACTACATTTCAACGTTGAATTGAGTTATGGTAGCAATGTGCAGCATGATGTTCACTCAACCATGCTTCCATCATTTTCTTTGTCTCTCCTGCCTGACGCATGGTGACACTAGCATTCATTTGATGAAGGCCATCTTTTGAGGAAACATCATACTTAAATATGTATACATTTTTGGTACTCCTTGTATACACTATATAATCCTTTGTCAGTTGTATTTATTGACAATAACTTCTTCAGTCCTACAGCTTTTATTCTTTCTAGGTTTCATTGGGTTACCAGAACTTAATGACAATGAAGTCAAAATTATCAACCTTTTCTTGTATGATCAATGTTTTGGAGTCCTATTAAGAAATCCTTTCCTTCCTCAAGAGCATGAAGATATTCTCCTTACTATCTTCTCAAAGACTTACAATTTTACTTTCGCACTTAAATCTTTAATCCTGTAGACTTTTGTTTGTTTATTGTGGCAAGGACATTTAACCCGAGATCTACCCTTCTGACACATTTTCAAGGGTACAATACAATAGTGTTCACTAAAGGCATGATGTAGCACAGCAGACCTCTAGAACTTATTTGTCTTGCATAACCAAAACTGAAATGCACATTGATTAGCAATTCCCCATTTCCCCTCCCCCAGCCCCAGCAGCCACCATTCCACTCTCTGCTTCTACAAGATAGAGTGTTTCACATTCTTCATAGATGTGTTATCATGTAGTATTTGTTCTTCTGTGACTGGTTTCTTTCACTGAGGATAATGCCCTCCAGGTTCACCCATGTTGTCTCATATTACAGAATGTTCTCATTTTTAAAGGCTGAGTAATATTCCATTGTATGTACTGAATAGATCATATTTTTTTTAATTCTTTCATTCACTGAAGGACATTTAGGTTATTTTCACTTCTTGGTGACTGTGAATAGTGCTGCAATGAACATGGGAGTGCAGATATCTTTTTGAAATCCTGATTTCAATTATTTTGG